TCCACTGCTCTTAATTTCACATCATACTACTGCTTTTACTGAATTGTATTTGAAATCAGTATTTAGGGAAAATAAACATGAGTAGTCTTTACCCCAACAGGATAAGACAGTCAACTGTCCTTGTTTTTGAGCCAAACTTAGGACAACAAAAGCAGAATCAATTCCACTTAGTCTGACTTCCCTCTAATTAGTTGGATTTTATTGTGTATTGAAGGATGGGTTAGAGGGTCATAATTATAAATCTGTTTCCATGCAGTTTGTGTGAATTGTGAACATGTGTATTGCTGGTTAATATAAAAATTAATTTCAGTCAATAATTCCAGGTATGACAATGCTAATTGATGTGAAAGAAACACATTTTTTCTCTCCTGGTGGGGAGTCAGTTCAGTATGGCACACTACCCATGCAGTTTTTAAAATGTAATAGCTTGATTTGTGCTCTCCTTATTTCTCTCCCTCCCTGCTTCCGAGCACAGCTATGGATTCATGGGTAGTTATTTATTTGATATTTTATAGTAAGTTATAGACATTCTTTATGATGTTGGAATCTTTATGATTTCCCAAAGCAGCCGGTAGGGATCCTTTCAACTCTCTCCTTTAGCTCAGCACCTAATGAGGGGAGTGTTTTCCTTACTTTATGTTACAACAAAATTTCCCTACAGTGATTTCCCTCCAGTTAACTAGAAAGCAGGCATTTCTCCAAGAAGTTCTGTTTTATTTTAATATGGACTGGTATTTAGAAACTCAGATCTGAGCTGAAAGGAGTTCACTGCACCTGATTGTCATTGTTACTATGTGTTTTCAATGTCTTCAGCTTAGAGAAAATGTACATATGTTTTAATTTTGAGTTCATGTTCACATTTCCTCAAAGTTAACAGGGTTTTTGTCCCTTTTTAATTTTATTATTGTAGTTAACTTTTCTCACATGCTGATAATCTGGGTTCCTAAATAACATTAATGTTTTCATTTGTTCCCAAATGTGTATAAAGTTGTTTCAGTATCAAATTATCAATACTAAACAGTTGAAGTCAACTATTATTTTGTAGTATTTTTGTCCCTACATTCGGCATATACAATCATTTTACTGTTTATAAGCCATTTGATATTCTATTAGATAAACTTTTTAGGTTATGTCAATATTAGGATTTGCTTTTTTAATGTTTTAAATTTGTTTTTGAAAGTATAAGTCAAACTATATAAAAAGATATAGTCAGAGCAATCTCTTTCACACTCTCCATCGTTTCTCCACCCAATTTGTTTTACCCATTTTTATTGATTTTGGTTTATTTTTCCAGTGTTTCTTTTTTGCAAAAATTAGCTCTTATATACACACATAGATGTGTTTGTGTGAATTTATGTTTGTGATATCTATATTTTCAATCCTTTCTGATGCTAAATCTGCATTCCTTTTGATTTGATAGGTTTCGGAGATTATTCCTATCAACTAGAGATGCTGGGTAAAAAAAGCTCAACAGTAATTCTCTGTGTACATGTATCATAGTTTATTTGACTAATTCCTTATTAGTGCACATTTGAGTTTCTAATATGCCCCTTGAGTTATTTTTTAAGTAACCTTTCTAAAATATTTAAACTATTCAGTGTGTTCTCATTACATGAAATCCAAACTCTGTGTTAGGGCCTGACCAGTACCTGACTTGTGCATACCTCTTCAGCTTCATTTCATGCTACTATTCTTTACATGTCTCCCAACCCAGGTTTGACTTTCCCAGACCTTCCCTTTCCACCCTAGCCAATGTAATTTCTTTCTTCTCAAGTCACCATTGCTTCACTTGGTTGATTTCCTTATATGCTGTTCTTTAAAATATTATATTTTATATAATTCTTACATCATTTTTCATTTTTGCACAATGTAGGCATTTTCATTTTGGTTATATTCCCCATACAATTGCACCCCCCTTATTTTGACCCTAATCCTTCCTCTCCCCACCCCCCATAGTTTGTCTCTGGTTTATAGTTGCTTGTTGATTTTGATTTTTTCTTTATTATAGATAGTCTTTTTCCTGGTCCCTTATTTAGGTTTTCTACATTCCTGCTATGAGTGAGACCATCTGGTATTTTTCTTTTTCTTTCTGGCTTATTTCGCTGAGCATGAGCCCTTCCAGCTCCATCCATGTTGCTGCAAATTGAATGAGTTTATCTTTTTGATTGCTGAGTAATATTCCATTGTGTATATGTACTACATCTTCTTGATCCAGTCATCTATTTTTGGGCATTTGGGTTGTTTCCATAGCTTAGCTATTGTAAATAGTGCTGCTATAAACATAGGGGTGCAGGTGCCCTTTTGAATTAATGTTTCTGTCATTTGGGTAAATACCTGGGAGTGGAATTGCTGGATCATAGTTCTATCTTTAGTAGGCTATATGCTGTTTTTTAAAAACAATTAACAGCAACTTGAAGTCACCTTCTTAATTTAGCTAGTGTCATTTAGTGGCTGAGAGCTTGAGTTTTACAAAGCAGACCACCTGATTTGGAATCCTGTTTTGACCTTAAACATGTTGTTTTAGCACTGTGTGCTTGAGGGTCTTCATATAAAAATGGGAATAACAATAGCATTTTCCTTATAAGTTCCATGAGAAATGAGTGGCTTTGGAGTGTAAACCCTGTGCGGTTGCTGATACTTACTAAGTGTAAAATAAATGCTGTCTACAATGGTTTTATTATTTAATTGTTCATTGTCTTTCTCTCTTAGTAAACTCTGGCAGCAAGGAACATGTCTGACTTGTTAGCCACTATAAACGCAGGTCTTAAAACAGTTCCTGAGAGATAGTTGTCACTTACATACTATGTTTCTGAATAAATAATAGTTAACACTCAATTCCTGTATCTTTTAAATGTTCTTGGAAATCTAAGAGCAAAATAATGCTTTCTCAGAATACAGTCATAGACAGTTGTCAGATTCAACAGGTATTTTTTAATCAAATTTGGCATCAAAATATGAATGCCTACTATTTTTGTTATGAATGCATACTATTAACATGTGTCCTGGAAGCACTGTCCGTTTATCAAAACTAAAATAGAAATTAAAAATCATTGCCATCAGAAAAAGACTAGAATTATCATAATTGTCACAATTTGATGTCCATGAAATATGAAAGGATCAATTAAAATTTTCCTAAAATCAAGAGTTTAGTAAATGACCTGATATTTTTACACTACACATAAAGAAATAATTTTTTTCCAGCATTCTAATAATTACCAGTTGACACCATAATGAAGAAGAGTCTTATTCTGTAAAAACAGTGACAGATTTAAAGTATCTAGCAATGTGGAATGTGTCATTTATAAAGAAAACTAGAAAACTTTAATGAGATATAAAGAACTGAAAAAATGATGATATGCCCATTTTCTGGGTAAAATTTTAAATATTGTAAAAATTAAAATTCTTTGAATTTTCATTTAAAGACAATTAAAACAAATACATAATGTTAATATTATATATATATGTTATAAATTCAATGATAAATTTTTACAAACCAAACTTATTTGTATTTATTTGGAACTCCTGTCAAAAATTATTTGAAATTTTATGTGGAAAATGTTGGAAAATAAGCAGAAATGGTTTCATCCGATGTCCAGTCTTTAACAAAGACCATAACAACACTCTATCTGCAGCAGCTGGGGGAGGATACAACTCAAATAACCTTTAATATAGTAAAATACATGATTAACTTTTGACATTATCCTAGTCAGCTGTAAATGTCACCTCAGCAGTAAAGAGAGCATATCATTTAATTTTACAGCAAGGAATCTGAGTTACACACCAGTAATTTAGCTGTTGAGAGTATATCAATGTACTGATGATTCTAAATTTTAAATAATTGACATAGAAAGAATAAATTACCCATTTAATCTGTGTGCAATCATAGGATGGCCATCTTAGAGTAGTCCCCAGTTTCCCTAGGAGTTTCCATGGTTTTAGCTCTAGCAGTTTCAAATTCCAGGAAACTAGGGGAAAATCAGTTATGATTGGTTACTCTCATACAGTTTATAGGAATGATGCTTATGGCCACAAAGGTGTTTCCTAGAAAAATGAAAAAAAAAAAAAAAAAAAAAAAAAGGATGACAAATGTCTGATCTAGTGGAGTAAATCATTTATTGGTTCATTCATGCTACAGGTTAACTCTGGGCACACTGAATTCCTATATGAATCTTCATTAGTTCCAGGAATTCTTTTTTTAAACAGTTATTTATTTATTTATTTATATATACATACATACAAACACTGGGTACAGTCAGAAGCGTGGGAGGGTGAGAGAATTCACTAGAGCCAGAGCGGGGAGCAAAACAGGCAGAAGGACTGATGTACACTGCTGAGGGGAACAGCAGGTGGCAGGAGAGGTCTGTGTGCCATATGCGACCCTCGCCAGTGGCCAGGGATCAAACCGGCGCTACAGAGGCTGCGGGCAGCTTCGCAGCCCAGCGCTCAACCGCTGCGCCACCGGGAAGGCCCAGTTCCAGGAATTTAAGATTGGGGTTCACTCAACAATCTATAGTAGAATTCATTAAGACTCCCAGTAATCATCTGCTAGATGAGTAAGGCCATGTTGCTTAGTCTTCTATACTACAGCTAATCTCAGAGTCCATGATAGTTATTGTATGTTGGCTTGTGATTTTCCCTGTAGACTGTACTTAGCAAAACTCATTTTCCTGGGGATTCACTATTTTCTAATTTATCAATCATTAGAAATATTTTTACTGTATAATAATTTATCTCTTGCTTTGATTTATAAAGGTTTTAAGATGATATATTTAGTCTATTATAGGTGAATCTAGTAGATATACTGATACTTTTATATGTGTGTATGTTTTTTGTATTTAGAAAGATAGCCATTATGCTGAGAATTTCCTGCAGAATATAAGGTATACTCATAATGGATTAATTTGCAGTTAGCCTGTTGAGATATTCATTTCTTTTTGCACTAAGTAGAATATAATCACTTGCCACAACTAAGATAGTTTCTCTTTATTATTGTTTTTTAGTGTCTAAAAAGCACGGCAAGCTCATTACTTTCTTACGCACATTCATGAAGTCTCGTCCAACAAAACAGAAGCTAAAGCAGCGGGGGATCTTGAAAGAGAGGGTGTTTGGTTGTGATCTGGGGGAGCACCTTCTGAATTCTGGTTTTGAAGGTAAAAATAAAATGTATAAGCTCATTATTTCAACTCCTGGCCTCTACATATTGTTTTTCTATAAGGAATTATGAAACCGCATTAGGAAAATATTGTATGTTTCATTTAAGTACAGTAACATATATTGAATGTTTTCAGGTGCTCATCTTAGTTCTGGAGGTAGCCGAGGATGAAGAGAGGTTTGTCTAAGAATATACTTTTGCTTCAAAGATGCTTATGACCTGTTAGGGAGAGTAAGACTTTCACTTAAATAATAAAATAGCACTGTTAGTTTACATCACTTTTATTAGTTGGGAAAAATGGAGTTTTTCTTTAACTTTTTAAAATAGCACTTTCCTCTACTATCTCTTTTAGAGATGCTAGAATATTAAGGAATTATCTACCTATAATGTTGGTAAGTACCAGAAGTATATGATTTATGAAATTCTGAATCCTGATGGGAAATACTTTTTGTACTTTTTGAGAAAACCACAAGAGAATACCTTTAGTAATATCAAGTCCAATGTAAGACTTCACTCATTGTTTAAAGAATACAGATCTACTTATAATATGAACTTTTTTTTTTTTTTAAATATTTTATTTATTTATTTGTTTGTTTATTTATTATTTATACAAGCACTGGGTACAGTCAGAAGCGCGGGAGGGTGAGAGAATTCACCAGAGCCAGAGCGGGGAGCAGAGCAGGCAGAAGGACCGAAGTACACTGCTGAGGGGAGCAGCGGGCGGCAGGAGAGGTCTGCGCGCCATGTGGGACCCTCCTCTGGTGGCCGGGGAGCAGCCGGGGATCGAACCGGCGCCGCAGAGGCTGCGGGCAGCTTCGCAACCCAGCGCTTAACCGCTGCGCCACCACGGAGGCCCTACTTATAATATGAACTTAATGTAAACTATACCATGTTTCTTGAAGAAGACAAAATATTATTTTAACACAGGTATTATTTCCAAACTAATATCAACTTGATGCAATTACTAAAAACCCACAAGCAAATAGACAAAACCCCTGAAGATTATTTTCCCAACTAGTCAAAAATACTTGGAAAAACAAGCAACTGAGAACATAAGAGACCATTGTGGTGGAAAATGTAATAGGATAGGAGCTATCTAGTTTTAACAGATACTAAAACAAAATTCAGAACTAAAATGTTATTAGTTCAGAGACCGTGATGTGAACGAAGCAGTTTGAAATTTTTGAACAAGTGGTTGTGATAGATAAGAATCCATTCTGCTAGAATATGCTTTTAAAAACCATGTCATGAGAAGGGTTACTTATAAAATATGGAAAGATAAATAATGAAAAATAAATGTTACTTTAAGACACTATGAAACACTATTTCAAATTGAATTGCTTATGTGAAGTGATTTTGTTTTGAAATAGAAAAGAAATCGGAGCTTTCTCAGATAACATTAGAAAGGAAAAGTTGATTTTGTTAGCATGCAACTGAAGGGTACCCAGGGACCTCAGACTGTTAAGGGGTACACACTCTAAAAGGGATTTGGCCATCCATGATTAATGAAAGAATACTTTCAGTGTGATAGATGTTTAATAGAATTGGTGTACATAGAGAGGGAAGAAAGGATTTCAAGTAACAGTGAACTTTGAAAATTACCCATCCCCTCGTGGGCAAATGACCAGTCAGACAGGTGCAGCCTGAAGAGGGGCCACTGAGGCCTGAAAGATTTCCAGAAGTCTAAGATACCTTCTGGTAAGAAACCACAAGAAAGAGGGTAGGCAGGTCCTTGAGATCTGGGACAGGAGGAGAGACTCAAGATTTAAAATACACATCAAGAAAACAGCTACCATTGTCTCTACCAAAGACCAGGGGTGGCCTCCCCATGTATCTCTTACTACATGTTTCTCCTCCATGTTTCCTTCCATATGTCTCTTCCAGTGGTACTGGGGTGCAAGTCGAAGCCAGAAAAGCAAAAGTTTCTGAGCATACGTATGTTCAGTTATAAGTCAAGCAAGGCCACTGAACTCCACCCCTAGTTCCCAGCAGCTTCCCATTAAGGAAGTCACATGGCATGCTGCGAGTTGTAATTTTGGGCTTGAAGAAATGAGGGTGGAGTCTGTAAAAATGTCAGGGGATAGATTGTTCCTCTAATAATTTCACACATAATTTCCATATAATGAAAATAAAGGTAAAAGAAAGATATAACAGACTGGGACACTGTTTACATATGGTGAAATGCTATTTATTAATGCAGTATATGCAAATATTTAAATTTCTGAAAATATTAAATCCTGAGTACTAGAATGGAAATTTAAACATAATTTTCACACAGATATAGCAAGTAAAATTCAGAAAAGTAGTCACAGAACTGTACCTTTAAGCAATTTTACATAGATACATATTAAAATAACAAAGCTAGTTTTCTAAATTATGATATCTAGTGCTATTAAAAACAGTGATTTCTGAGAGACTGGTTTTGTGATATAATTGAACAACTCATCCTCTGAATTGTGGAACTTCTTAAGATGTTCCAAAGGAGGGATTGTATGGGAACAAAAGTTTATACCTCAAACAGGTTTTTGGCTCGAGGTTTATTTCATGGCAGGGGTTCTAAAAACTGGGTGGAAGTTGCTTTTGAGCAATGTATACATATATATATATATATATATATGTATGTATGTACATATATATCTGAACTGCTTTCTATGATCACCTTTTTTTGGAAGATCTAAATCTTCTTACTCTTTTCAATGTAAAAGACCTTTGCTTTCCCCAGTAAATGTCCTCACTGATTTGATGTTTTTCTGGCTGAGCTGTATATGATGGTCACTTGGAGAGTTACTCAATCCTCCTGGGTCTCCCATGTAATCAGGAGGTATACACAGTATTATTAAACTTCACTGTGGATTTTTCTCTTAAAAAAATAGCAGGGATTTTCAGGTAGTTCTGTGAAGTATTATGATTTGAAAAATGCTTTTGTACTTTGTAACAGGAGACTTTATATTTCCTTTCATGTAGCAGTTCTCCTTAGGAGTTTATCCCAATGCTATATTTCTGTATAAGTAAAAAATATTCATTATACTATTATATATGAAAGAAAAAAATGGACACTCAACTTTCAGGGAAATTAATATATAAATTATGAAGATAATTAACACTAATATGAACACATTGTCGAAATTTGGAATATATTATATACAAACAGTACATACATACATACATACATACACCTTTTTTAATGTTTAGCTGCTTAGATGACATTTAAAATGAATAGAATTATTGTAGAGTATTAGGTGAGGAGAATATTTTTGTGAGTTTTTTCTTAGTTGTTTTCCTTTACCCATTAAAAAAGAAAAAACACAAGAAGAGTATTTGAAATGAATTTAATAGTGTTTGAAGAAAAAATTCTCCTGAAGACTTGCTCAGAGGAGATAGTCTATATTCAAATCATTGAAGAGCAAAAAAAAATTAACTTCTGGCATTAGGTTGTAATTTGAAACATTTAATACCAAGATCATACACATTTTAGCTTACTTATTAAAATAATTTGTTTGACTGGGGATGGTGAAAAATGAAGAAATGTTTATATGAAGGGCCTGAATTCGAATATTCAAATATTAACTAGATTAGCAGGGAAAGGGAAACCTTTAAAGCTTACTAAAATTTTTTAGGAAAGAAAATGATTTATGATATTAAAATGATTTAATAGACTTTGATTTGCTAAATGTGTGAAGAACTAGTCTTTAAAGATTTTTTTAGACTTCATATATCCTATACATAGTCCAGTACTGTAGTTATACTGTTACATATGTATTGAGAAAGACTTTTAAAAGGCCTAAATTAAAATATGGAATTGAATGTTTGTATTATGTATAATATTTATTTATTTATTTTTAAAGATTTATTTCTTTTTATATAAGAGCTGGGGTACAGGCCAGAGGCGCAGGAGGGTGAGAGGATTCACCAGAGACTGAGCGGGGAGCAGAACAGGCAGATGACCAAAATACACTTGCTGAGGGGAGCAGGGGGCACGACAGGAGCACTCTGCAACACCATGTGGGAATCTCCCTAGCTGGCTGGGAATTGAACCCATGCTGTAGAGGCTGCGGACAGCTTCATAGCACTTTGCTCAACCCGCTGTGCCACCGGGGAGGCCCTATATATAATATTTAGTAGTCTAAGTGAAAGCAATAAGAATAGTCAGGAGGACTATTTATATAATACAAACATAATTATGGGAAGTAAGCTATAAATATAGATAGCTAGATAGATATAGTTACATGATATTTATAATTATTGTTCCTCATTATTCTGTTTTAGTTTGGATCCTTTTATATAAAATAGATTTTTCAATAGATTTTTCTTAGACATCAGTATAATGTTTTGCTAATGACTCATCCTCTAAATTGTATTTCTACTGAATAATCAACTTTTTAGAGAGACTGTCCTGTTAAACTTCCTGAATGTTTGAGTATCTTCCTCTTATAAGAAGTGACAAATCTGAACTGTGTCTTTTATAAAAAGTGTTAGAAGAAATTATGTAGTATTGTGACAAGGCATTTTACTTTTTATTCTTGTATTTTCTGATCCCTGGTGCCAGGATTCACTCAGGATAATCTGACAGTTTCAGCTACCACAAACCACATGCTTATAATTGAGTCTATTAAAGATTATATCACATTTATCTATAGAACTATGAGTTTTAAAAATATCTACCCACATAGTCCTTTTTTGTGCATAGTTCAGACAAATTTGTCATTTACATAGACATTCTTAATTGTGGAGTCCAAATGTTTTTTGTTATGTTAGTTTCTTTTCTCTTTTGTATCTCCTTTTCTCTTTGTATTGTTTTGTATCATTTTATTAAGCCTTGCATAGATGTGATCATTACTGTGGGGGAGTGTTTTCCAGTTCTGCCATGTTTTTTAGCTTTCCAGCATCATTTCAGCAAGTTGGTTTTTTTTTTTTAAAAGATTTATTTATTTATGCATACAAGAGCTGGGGTACAGGCCAGAGGTATGGAGTGTGAGTGGATTCACCAGAGACAGCGGGGAACAGAACAGGCAGACTGACTGAAATACACTGCTGAGGGGAGAAGCAGGCGAGACAGGAGAGGTCTACTGCGCCATGTGGTTGCTCCCTGGCCAGCCAAGGGACTGAACTCATGCTGCCGAGGCTGCAGAAGCTTCATAGGTTGCATCTTAACCACTTGCGCCACTAGGGAGGCCCTAATTCAGCACGTTTTAAGTAAGTAGTATAGGAGAAAACAGATACCAATAAGTAATTTCTTTCTGGAAAAAAAAATAGGTTTAATAATATCATGGTTAATATCATGGTTTTATCACCATGATAAAAGCTGTGCAGTTGAGAGTTCTTTCATAGGACTTGTTTTATTTGTTGCCCATATTCAAAACTGAATTTCCTTAAAGTAAAACCTCCTTTTTTAAAAAAAAAAGATTTATTTACTTACACATACAACAGCTGTCCTATAGGTAGGTAGGGGTGGAGAGGATTCACCAGAGACAGAGTGGGGAGCAGAAGAGGTGGACTGACTGAAATACCCTGCTGAGGGGAGCAGCAGGCAAGACAGGAGAGGTCTGCTACACTATGTGGGTCAGCTGCCAGGCTGTCTGGGGATCGAACTCTTGCTACAGTAGCTAGGGATGGCTTCCTAGTGCTGAGATTTAATCCCTTGCACCACCAGGGAGGCCCAAAGTAAGACTTTCTTTGAAAAAGTAAAAAATATGTAGGAAACTTGGTAAACTACTATTTCATACACAAATTTATCTAAATTATAGAATGCTTGCATGATGCCTGGCATTTGGAAGGGACCTGATAAATGACTAAGTGAGCCAGCGAGTAAGTACTTAGAGGAAAAAGAGCAGAAAAGAAACCAAAACTCAAGAAAAATCAAAACTCAATACTCCTCGTGCTTACATATCTTGTATTTCTTTTAGCCATGATTTTAATCTAAGTGATAACTAGTTTCAATTTAAACATTTACTGTAAATTGTATTGTTTGAGATAAAATACTAAAAATGTCTAAAAGTAGATCATAAACATGTTATTTGCAGAGTGTGGGGATAATTCTTAAATTATCATCTCCTTTTGAAGAGTTATTTTAGAGGTTTCTAATGTTAAATTTTGACTGGATCACTTTTTAATGTGCACTTGGTTGGTTTGATAGGTGGTTTTGAGGAAAGAGATTAAATAAAATGCCTTTTTAAACTAGAGTTTCTTCCAGTCATTTATATGGTTCTCATATTGTTTTCATAGTAAAAATGTGAACCAGATCTCTGCTCTTTTTATCTTCTGACACTGATCTTCAGTTCTTACTATTTTATTCAAAGTGAAAGTTTGTGCTTTTTGTTTCATTTTGTTTATTAAACATGTCTCATTGTCTTGCTTAAAATTCTAAGTAGTAATGATGTTCATTTATGTAATTTTATTTAAAGCCCCATCATGTGATTATTTTGTGGACATTCAGTCCTTTACTTAGGAACATTAAAGCATACAGGAACAATGCAAATATTTTCCAAAGTATTATGTATATAGAAGCTTAGCCACATTACTAAGGATAGACCTCTAACTTTGTAATACATTTTCAAAATTTGCTTCTTGTTTGGGGGAACATAAGCAAGTCTAAATCTAATATATGGATACAGTAGTCCCAAGAAAGTTATCCTTTTTAATAGATGATGACTTATTTTTGTGATTATTCTATAATGTGGTAGGAAAGCCTGATAATATAGAAATATAGCTCTATGCTCTGAAAGGCTTTCTTTCAAGGCAACCTTTGTACCTAGGTGAGTGAGCATGCTAATTTGGAAATACTTAATGAGAAGGAAACTTAAAAAAAAATTTAGCTCTGTTTTTCTTCTTTTAAATAATTATCCCAATAACTTCAAATATGTTTCCTTGGAAATAAGTGATAGAAATTTTCCAGCCCTAAATATTGATTCCACCTGTAGTTAGTCGGTTAAAAACCTGGGGTACAGTGGGGTTATCATTAATTGAGCAATATTAGAAATATGCCTGAAGCCCATAAATATACCTTATATTTTGCTTTATATATGTATGTTACTTTATACTATCATGTATATGATACTATATAAATGATACTATATATCATGTTGACATAGAGATAGCTTATAATATTGAAGTCGATAAGCATAAAATTCCTGAGACGTCTGCTTGCCCTTCATCTCTACCATATAAACATATTTCTTTTTGTTATTAAAATTCTTGAATAGTTTTAGAGATGAAAGCATGCAGTGGAAAATGAATACAGCTCAATATCTCTTCTCTGCTGACTTGATCAGATGATTTTATCAGGCTCACAAGATACCTATAAATTAATTCATTTTCTAATTGTACACATTGTGTCACAATTGTGTATTAGTTTCTCAATATACAAAGATAAATGAAACTCAGTTTTTGCCTTTTAAAAGCTTGGCTACGAAAGGGTAAATCATTATATAAACAAATAATAGTATTTCAAAATAACGTAGTCTGTGAGTATCTGGAACTACTTGGGAATATTCAAAAAGGCTTCAGAGTGAAAGTTCAATTAACTTTTGAACAAAAGCTAGTAAGAAGATGGTGATAGAAGGAGAGTCCCGTAAATGAAATTTTGTTTTGAGGAAGTTATAGAATGGCTGGTATGTATAGCAAAAGATGAGACTTTGCTTGGCCTCAAGTTATGAAATACAGGAAATACAACAATAAAATAAGTGAATATTATGAAATACCTTACATTCCATGCAGTATGTTGCCATAGTTAAAAATTGACTCTGTACTTGGACTAGTTAAGTTAGAATTTCATTTCTGCTGATTGTGTCCTCCTTGCACTTACCTCCTTTTACTTGCAATTGCTTTGCTTTATGAAATTGAAATTTACATTATGGCAGTGTTTTGCTTAATTATTGGCTATAATTTGAATTAGCATTAATTAGGAAAAGATGAAAGAGGCTTTTTTCAGTTTTAAGTCTTCTTAAGGCTCAGTTTCCCCTCTGTAAAATGGAGTAATGATAAAACTTCCCCCAAAATATTTTAGAATTAAGTGACAGTATCATTTGTAAATCACATAGCCCTACGAATATTATATTCTCAACAATACAGTTGATTTAAAAAATTATTTAAGATTAGGGAATTTAAGTTTTAAATGTAAGTTATAGGATCTGGTAGAGTTTAAAATAATGATCAGGGAAGACGATAAAAGGCAGAAAAGCTAAGGAAAAGTCAAATGTAATAATACTTTAGCAGATGTAATCTTATCAAAGCATCTTATTTCATTTACCTCTCTCAGTGTTTCAGCCCTAGTATATAATAGTGTTTCTGTAGACCAAATAATGTTCTATTTTGAGGGATTTTTAACTAACACTAGGAAGTAAACATAGTCAACTAAAATCTATATATTCATCAGTCTGCATTGCAAAGCAAAGTTCAAATTCAGCTACTGCAAATCTTTTAATATCTATACAGTTTTTTATTATATGCTTTGAGCATTCTGTTCTAATAATCCCAGAGTAGCTGTCCATTTGTGTCAGATAGCATCCTACTTGTCCTTGTATACTCATTCTTAAAGTAACCTTTTTGATGAACTGATAATAGTAAGTCAAAATGTCAGTAATTTGGATGCAGGAAATTAAAAGATTCCTTTTATTTGCAATTGATTTGCTTTATGAAATTGAAATTTGCGTTATGGTTATGGTGGTGGTCTGCTTACTTATTGGCTATAATTTGAATTAACATTAACTAGGAAAAGATGAAAGAGGCTTTTATTTTTAAGTTAAAAAGTATAGTACAGGCAGTTATGTTGGGATAAGCATTTAACTTTGTATCTTCATTTGCCACAGCTGAATAACTGTATCTTTTAAAAATCTGGTACAGTGTGTGCTAAACAGTTCATCCTCCTCTTGTTAAGATGCTCTAAATGAATATACGGCAGAGGATCTTAGAGAGACTCCTAATTGCTTGTGAAATCTTTCTTTTACCTAAATATAATGAGATACAGCCAGTCTTGATTATTCAGGAACTAGTTATCTAGTTTCGATGTGAAATTAAGTAAATATACCCTCATTATTTTTTGTAGGTTAATCACTGCCTCTTTTAATTTAAATTGACAAATTTTATTTTGCTTATAAAACTAAGATGTTTTCACTGAATATTCCCAATTTAATTCTTTAAAAATTCTTTTTAGTGCCTCAGGTTCTTCAAAGCTGTACAGCATTCATTGAAAGATATGGCATCGTGGATGGAATTTATCGTCTCTCTGGCGTTGCCTCCAATATCCAGAGACTACGGTAAAACTTTACATGGCATTTTCTTTTTACTCCTGGTGACTTATTTTCAGTAAGATCATTTAGGTAATATGAAAATAGTGTGCATATTGTTTTCTGTATGTATTTTTCTAAATGCCATTTCTTCATTTGTAGTATCAGAAAACTATGTCCCTTAACCTCATCAGTCTATACTTTGTCTTGTTACAATTGGCAAAATACTGGATATTCAAACTATTGGGAATTGGGAGTCCTGTTTTGGATCTGTGTGTTAAGTGCTGCTCATTCATATGCATTTCAGAGATTGTTGTCCATTCCTGTAGTAAAACTATTCCTGTAAATTTCATGTAGAAAAACACCTGTAATATGACCAGACATCCAGTTACTGCTGAAGTCCATGTATAACTTACATGAATTATGGTTACTTGAAGAAAACATTAACCACTGTTTGAGGTTAACATTTTGCTTTCTGTTTTTCCTTAGAGAAATTATTTTGTTTTCTTTCTTTTCTGTTTTGCTAGCCATGAATTTGACTCAGAACATGTCCCCGACCTGACAAAAGAACCATATGTTCAAGACATCCATTCTGTAGGCTCCCTCTGTAAGCTGTATTTCCGAGAACTCCCAAACCCTCTGCTCACTTACCAGCTTTATGAGAAATTTTCCGTGAGTACAGGTCACTTTTATAAAGCTCTGTTTGGAATTTTGAAGTGGTTTTCTTCAAAAGTATTAAGAAATTGGTGTGGTCCTGTAAGAAATAGTTTTATGACTGTGCTGTCACCTTTAAAAGCAAACAAAGAATACAAAGCAGTTATTGCATAGTTTTTGCTGTTTTCACATTTTCAATCTGTTAGTTTCTGGCTTTGAGCCATTATCTTATCACCCTTGATTCTGGTTACAAGTTTTTTAAAGATTATCTTTTAAAAGAATTCAATGTCCACCTCTGTGGGAACAAAGTTTACTTCCTTAATACTATGCTGAGTCTCCTTGTCATTCAACATCAAAGAGTGAATTAATGTCAGAGTAAAAACTAAATTGTAAGTGAGCTTTCATTTTTACCAGCAAAGCCAACTGGTTCATTTTGCTTTATGATCTTTATAGGAAGCTGTTTCAGCAGCAACAGATGAAGAAAGGCTGATAAAAATCCACGATGTCATCCAGCAGCTCCCCCCTCCACACTATAGGTGAGTCATGTGTCATTGAAAACCAGCCAAAACCAGAAGTCAGTTCATGTGTAAAAGCAGTATTTTTCTTTGCATTTGTGGCTATTTAAACCTCCATTTTTTAAATGCCTTTATATTCATTTATTTGTCTTTGTATCTCTATGGCCTGGCACAATGCTTGGCATCCAGTGGGTATTTAATAAACAGTGAATGAATGAATGAATAAATGATCAAATGGATAGCTTACTAAGCATGTTTTGTTGTTTTTATTTTATTCTTGAGACACTGAAAAATATTGCTAAAAGTACCAGGTTGTATGATGTTTTAGTAATATACAAGTTAACAGTGCTAATTTTTATTTCAAAGTGACATTGCTCATATGTATTTTAAAAATCACCACTAAATTCAGCACTTAATCAATACCAGTATTTTTTCAATTGCTGTCATGTTCTTTATTTCTTACTTACATTAGTTACCAAAATGTATGAAACATTTTAATTTCTTACCCATAATCTCTGATTTCTATTAATCTCTTAGCCTTTTATCTCCCTAGAGCTTTTATATTTTCTAATCTGACCCCTTTCTCAACTGTGCCTGTTCCATAAACCTTTTCACTTTGCCTTCTGAAAAATCACAATCATCAGCAAAATTTATTTTGTCTCAACTTCATCCATGAATGATCCTTTCACCTTTTTGTTTTTAAAAGATTTATTTATTTATGCATACAAGAACTGGGGTACAAAGGATGAGAGGATTCACCAGAGACAGAGTTGGGAACAGAACAGGCAGACTAACTGAAATACACTGCTGAGGGGAGCAGCGGGCAAGACAGGAGAGGTCTGCTATACCATGTGGGTAGCTCCCTGACTGGCCAGGGATTGAACTCATGCTGCAGAGGCTGCAGATAGTTCAGAGTGCTGTGCTTAACCCCTTGCGCTACCAGGAAAGCCCCCCTCACCTTTTTGTTTTAACTTGAGGTAATATTAGTTTATAACATGCATGTGTTTCAGATGTATTGTTGTACAGCTAAAATTTTTTTATTAATTTCTTTTTTTTCTTTTTTTGTTTTTTAATTTTTTTAATTTTTAAAATTTTTTATTTTAACATTTATCATTTTTCACATTTTTTAAGACCATATTTTCTTCCCCCCACCCCCTCAGATTGAGTCCCCATAGACTCTCCTTCCCCAAGGCACCCATGCACCATCACCACAGTCCCCTGTGCTCCTCCCTCCATCCCTTTCACCCCTCTCCCTCCTCCTCTCCTGCAGTATGTCTCTGGTTTATAATTGTTGTTTTTGCTTTGTTGTGTTTTGTACTGTTACTATTATTTTTTTTTTACACTGATGTCTTATTTGGTTCCCCTCTATTCCTGTTATTAGTGAAACCATCCGTTATTTTTCTTTTTCCTTCTGGCTTATTTCACTGAGCATAATTCCTTCTAGCTCCATCCATGTTGCTGTGAATGACATGAGTTTATCTTTCTGATTGCTGAATAATATTCCATTGTGTGTATATGTACCACATCTTCGTTATCCAGTCATCTATTTTTGGGCATTTGGGTTGTTTCCAGGTTTTACCTATTGTAAATAGTGCTGCAATAAACATAAGTGTACAGGTGCTCTTTTGAATCACTGTACAGCTAAAATTTTTAATCAACATTTAAGTGTCACCATAGTTATTTTTAGTTAATGCTATAGCTATAAATGCCTGAGTGTCAAGAGCCAGAAGGTAATAGCATTGACTCATTTTCCTACTAATGTAGTCTTCTGGAAGAGTAACAGATTAACAGGATTTTAAGGACTCATTGAAGAGTGAAAAGAAAAATGTTCTTGGGCCTCCCTGGTGGTGCAGAGGGTTGAGCTTAGCGCTGTGAATCTGTCCACAACCTTTGCAGTGCGGGTTCGATTCCCGGCCGGCCAGGGAGATGCCCACATGGTGTGGCAGACCCCTCCTGTCATGCCCGCTGCTCCCCTCAGCAGTGTCTTCGGTCCATCTGCCTGTTCTGCTCCCTGCTCTGTCTCTGGTGGATCCTCTCACCCTCCCACGCCTCTGGCCTGTATCCCAGCTCTTGTATAAAAATAAATAAATCTTTACCAAAAAAAAAAAAGAAATTTATGTATTTATCCCTGAAAAAGAAGCCTGGGGAAGATTATCTCTAAGGGGTGAGGGAGATTTCATTTAATTAAAGAAGTGGAAATCTAGTACAATATAAAGGGTTTTGACTTTAATAGACCTGAGTTTGAATCTCTAACTTTTTATCGTTTACTATGTGACCTCTCCCAAGTGTCAGTCTCCATATCTGTGAAAAGAATACCAATCGTATCTTCCTTTTTAAAAAAAAAATATTTATTTATGCATACAAGAGCTGGGGTACAGGCCAGAGGTGTGGGGGGGTGGTGAGAGGAATTACCAGAGACAGAGCAGGGAGCAGAACAGGCAGACTGACCAAAGTACACTGCTGAGGGGAGCAGCGGGCGAGTCAGGAGAGGTCTGCTGTGCGATGTGGGTTGCTTCCTGGCTGGCCAGGGGATCGAACGCCTGCTGCAGAGGCTGCGGACAGCTTCATAGGTTGCCTTTTAACTCATTGCACCACCAGGGAGGCCCCCAATCGTATCTTCTTAACAGGATTTTTTTTTTTAAGATTTATTTATTTATTCATACAAGCACTGGGTACAGTCAGAAGCGCGGGAGGGTGAGAGAATTCACCAGAGCCAGAGCGGGGAGCAGAACAGGCAGACTGACGAAATACACTGCTAAGGGGAGCAGCGGGCAGCAGGAGAGGTCTGCGCGTCATGTGGGACCCTCACCCCGTGGCCAGGGATCGAGCCGGCACTGCTGAGACTGCGCGCAGCTTCACAGCCTAGCGCTCAACCGCTGCGCCATCAGGGGAAGCCCATAACAGGATTTTTTTAATGATAAAATGAGATCAGATGTTCATGAATGAGTGTGGTCCTTTTTTGTTAACACAAAGCATAGCAAGTCAGATGATAAAGTCATGATTCTTGCCTTGGTAGTTTTATTTGAGATGCCATCTAAATATACCTTCTTGTCTAAATAAAAATATGATCAGTATAATATGCTGTTAAAAATGGTTAAGAATGATTAATGAAGATGATTTAGGTGATAGAAACTAGCATGTCACATAGTGGACATGAAGTCTTCTTTCTGGGAATAGCAAATTAGGGTGGAAGATGGGAAGTTTTATAGGATAAATAAAAACTAGTGAAGTGAAAAATAAAAATTACCTGATTGACTGAGTCCACATAGTCAAATTAATTAGGGATGAGGAGACCCAGAGTTGACTTGATGTGTGGGGTTTGACTGAGTTAGTTGGGTAGACTATCATTTGGTCATGTGGAGCACTTACAGGCACATGGAGGTTATCTAAGGTTTGGTTTGCTGACGTGGACCCCTGGGCTGGAGCAGCTTCATCTGGGGCCTGAAAGTTCCCTTTCATAAAAAACTGAAAGTTCTTTCAGTAGTCCATAGTTTTTATTAAGAAGTCAAATGGTATATGGTAGCAGTCTCCTGCTTTACACCTCCCCATCTAATTTCTCTTTCCTAAAATTCACTATTCTTAATTCTTCAGGAGTATATTCCTGTTTCTAAATGATATGGTTATATTTTTATTTCTTTATTTTTCATATATATATATATATATATATATAATTTGTTCCCTTTCATATTAAATACAAATTTAGCTCCCTTATAACTCCCTCCATCCAATACCACACACTTCCCCATCTCATTTTTAATCTAAGCCAGTATTCAGTATCTACATTGTAGTAAAGATATTACTACTATTTACAGCTGCACCAAATAGTACACTAGAATTATATTTCCTTCCTGAGATAACTTTTTCTGTTTTCATGGAGTGCTTTCTGATTTTTGGCTTATTAAGTTTCTCGTGTCTTTCCCAAAAATTCTTTAGCAGAACTATAAATGTTTTCTCAGTGTCTTCAGTTATCAAACAACTTTCCCCGCCATGAAAACATCCCTTTGAGGGCTTCTGTCCTACTGCTCAGTCCAGGCTTGATTGCTCTCTACACCTAAATATAGCAGGCCATGCCCCTCGTCCTGGAAATTCCCTTCATCATATCCCTCACAAGTTGAATCTCCTGCTGACGTCTTGTTTTTACCCCATCATAAACTTTTTTCCTCGGTATTCTCTAGATGTAATTATTATAGAGATCATAGAATTCATAATATTTGTCTGACTGCTCTGTAGTAATAATGCTATTCAGTTCTAATAGCAAAAAATGTTGCTGGGATTTGTGTTTTTTTTTTTTTTTTTCTGTAGAAAATTTACTAATTAATTAGTGGAGCGTTTATATTCTACATTGTTACATAATTTTGTAGTTAATATGTTGTATTTCATTTTCCAGAACACTGGAGTTCCTAATGAGACACTTGTCTCTTCTAGCTGACTATTGTTCCATCACAAATATGCATGCAAAAAACCTCGCAATTGTTTGGGCTCCAAACCTGCTACGGTGAGTTGCATTTGATTTAAGACCTTATATAGACTCGGCCATCTTAAGTGAAAGTCTTAATACATCAGTGTTCCTTCGGGACAGTTTTAAAATGGAAAACTTATCTGTAGTTTTTATGAACAGCTCCATTAAACAGGTAACTGGGGCTTAGGCAAGGAACTGTAAAAATATGATTTCTTCCTCTGCTTTGTTTATAATTTGCACATTAAAATTAAAAAAAAATTCCTTTAAGACTGCTGTCTTTGGGAATTTTTCATGGTCCTGTTGTTTACCCAACAGATCAAAACAGATAGAATCTGCCTGCTTCAGTGGCACAGCAGCTTTCATGGAAGTGAGAATTCAGTCTGTGGTTGTTGAATTCATCCTCAATCACGTAGATGTCCTCTTCAGTGCGAAAATCAGTGCCGTCATTCAGGAAGGAGCAGGTATGGCTCTGATGGATTTGTAGTACTAGGAAATATATTCAAACTCCTAAAGGAATGGGAAATTACATTTCTTATCTCAGTTTTCCCCCCAAAAAGCAGCTGAATTTGTCTCTTTCCCAAGATGAACGATGTAACAGTTATTTTGTGTGTACATAATGGATATTATACATTGGACTTACTGTGATCTAAATCCACGACAGAGAAAACACTATCTCCTTTAATGATGTGTGTTATGGTATAGTGTGGAGCAGCAGAGGAAAATGCCCCCTGAACTAAAAATATATGAGTGATAACAAGCAATTTCTGGCCTCTTTTAAGAAAGAAAAATAAATTACTTAAAGGATTTCTAAAATATGTGTGTGTGTGTGTGTGTGTATCACTTGTTAACAATCTGTATGTCACCTTCTCTTCCTCAGTATAAAGCACTATTAATTTTATTTATTTTCTTCTATTGTTAGTTATTTTTGTATTTTGGTTTTTCTCCTTAGGTATAGTCTCTGTGGTTCTCCCATCACCATATCACCTTTGACCTATCACCATATTCCCTTGTGCTCTTCCCTCCCCTGTTTTGACCTCTTCTTATCTCCTTCCCCCTCCCTTGCTATAGGCCCCAGATCTATGGTAAGCTTGCAAGCTGTGTCTTTTTCTTAACCTTTTATGTGGTTTCTCTATATTCTGCATATGAGTGAAATCATCAGGTATTTATCTTTTTCTTTCTGACTGACTTCACTTAGCATAATCCCTTTCAGCTCCATCCATGTTGCAGCAGATAGCATGAGTTTATCTTTTTTGATAGCTGAGTAGTATTCCATTGTGTGTGTGTGTGTGTGTGTGTGTGTGTGTGTATACACCACAACTTTTTGATCCATTTGTGTGTTTTGGGACATTTGGGTTGTTTCCATATTTTAGCTATTGTAAATAATGTTGTGATAAACATAGGAGTGCGAGTTTCCTTTCGAATTAATGTTTTTGTGTCCTTTGGGTAGATTTCTAGGAGTGGAACTGCTGGATCATATGGCAGATCCATTTTTAGTGTTTTGAAGAGCCTCCACACAGCTTTCCATAGGGACTACAACAGTTTCATTCCCACCAGCAGTATAAGAGGGTTCCTTCTTCTCCACATCCTCGCCAACATTTGTTATTTCCAGTTTTGTTTTGTTTTTTTTAATATTGATCTATCTCATTGGTGTGAGGGTTATCTCATTTTGGTTTTGATTTGCATTAGTGATGTTGAACATTTTTTCATATGCATTTTGGCCATTTGTATTTCTTCTTTAGAGAAGTGTCTTTTTAGTTCTTCTGCCCAATTTTTTGATTGGGTTGTTTGCTTTATTTTGTTGAGTTGTGTAAGTTCTTTGTAGATCTTTGATATCAATCCTTTATCTGTTGTATGATTTCTCCCGTTCAGTAGGTTGTCTCTTCCTTTAGATTACCGTCTCTTGTGCTGTACATAAGCTATTTAGTCTGATGTGGTCCCAGCTGTATATTTTCTCCTTGATTCTGGAGGTGAATCCTCAAAAAATGTTTCTGAGATTTATATCATATTTTACCAATGTTCTCTTCTATGTATTTTATGGTGTCAAGTATTACATTTAAGTTTTTAGTCCATTTTGAGTTGGTTTTTGTGTATGGTGTGAGATAGTAGTCTAGTTTTATTCTTTAGCATGTGGCAGTCCAGTTCTCTAAACACAATTTATTGAAGAGGCTTTTCTTGTTCCAGTATATATTCTTTGCTCCTTTGTCCAAGAGTAGTTGACCATATATGTGTGGTTTTGTTTCCAAGCTTTTGATTCCATTGGCCTGTGTGCCTGTTTTTGTTCCAATACTGTGCTGTTTTTAGTATAATGGCTAAGTACTATTATTTTTGCCATTTGAAAACATAGTGAAAAATTTTAAAATAACCCAGACAGGTGGATAAACAGATTGATAAATGCTCACTCACATATCTGTATTTATATTTTTCCTGCATGCCCCAAAATTTGACTGTATTTGTTGTTTTTCTTCTTAAGTTTCTCTAGCAAGACCCAAGTCCCTGCTGGTTCCCTCTCCATCTACAAAGCTGCTGACATTGGAGGAAGCCCAGGCACGAACACAAGCTCAGGTCAATTCTCCAATCATGACTGAAAATAAATACATAGAAGTAGGAGAAGGACCTGCTGCACTTCAGGGAAAATTTCATACCATAATTGAGTTCCCACTTGAAAGGTAAAAATCATTAAATCCTCCTTAATTAACAATATGACTCTCATGTGTTGTTTTCTTTTACTTTTTGAGTTTTATTATTCTACACTGACTCTGGCTAGGCAAGTCCCAGAAAAACCTGTTTCTTTGATTATAGAAGATACTTCACAAGGAATGAGAAAAATGATTCTCAAAAAGGGATATAAGAGCATATCCTTTCAAAGAAGAATAAACTCAATTGTACAGGGAAAGTTGTTAGGAAAATGATACATTTCCATGATAGAGGGTGTGATTTTTCTGTCTGAGATATATTGTTTAGAAATTTCTTTAGAAATAAACTGTGGGAACAACCTGTTCAGAAAGTAACGAATGGATAATGACTTGTCTGACATCAGCTCCACGTTAAGTCTAGAATAGACTAGTGTGTCTCCCAGTGTGACCTTCCAGCCAGCAGCATCAGCATCACATGAAGTTGTTAGACATGCTCATAACCCCTTGGATATCTTTATGGAGATTCTTTTCTCCTTCATAGGAGGAGGCCTCAAAACAAAATGAAGAAATCTCCTGTGGGCAGCTGGCGTTCCTTTTTCAACTTGGGGAAATCATCGTCGGTTTCTAAACGGAAGCTGCAGCGTAATGAAAGTGAACCCTCTGAGATGAAAGCCATGGCTCTGAAAGGTCTGTGCCCATTCACCTGGCCTGCGATCCACAGTGCGGGGATTGGCATACGCGGTTCGCACGTCTGGCCCTGCCCTGAGGCTGCCTCTTACTCTCTGGCCTCGTGCTCCTATGTTGTCACATGCTTCAGTATGCTGTGTGCTGCCACATGTGGGTTGTCTTCTTTTACCAACTCTTTATTCCCAGATACATAAATTATCCGTGAATGTGTTGATTATGCCCGATTTCTTATTGAAACTTAAGCTATATACACAGTGAGAATGTGGTTAGGCATTCACAAAATATTTGTAACATGGTATGTATGTTGTTGGTAATAAAAAACAACTGCTGTGGTGTTTACATTTATTAATCTTTTTTTTAAAGATTTATTTATTTATGCATACAAGAACTGGGGTATAGGCCAGAGATGTAGAGGCGTGAGAGGATTCACCAGAGACAGAGTGGGGAACAGAACAGGCTGATCTACTGAAATAACACTGCTGAGGGGAGCAGCGGGTGCGTCAGGAGAGGTCTGCTGAGCCATGTGGGTTAGCTCCCTGGCTAGGACTTGAACTCGTGCTGCAGTGGCTGCGGATAGCTTCATAGTGCTGTGCTTAACAACCCTTGACCCTGGGCCTCCCAGGTGGCGCAGTGGTTGAGCGCTGGGTTGCGAAGCTGCCCGCAGCCTCTGCAGCGCCGGTTCGATCCACGGCTGCTCCCCGGCCACCAGAGGAGGGTCCCGCATGGCGCGCAGACCTCTCCTGCCGCCCGCTGCTCCCCTCAGCAGTGTACTTCGGTCCTTCTGCCTGCTCTGCTCCCTGCTCTGGTTCTGGTGAATTCTCTCACCCTCTCGCATTTCTGACTGTACCCAGTGCTTGTATAAATAAATAAATAAATCTTAAAAAAAAAAAAAAAAAAAAAGAATTGTTTAAAAAAAAAAAAACCTTGACCCTGATCTATATTTCTATAGATTAAATTAAAAAGAACCATGTTTCAACATGCCTTTCCAGTTTATAGCTCTTAAAAACAAAGAAACCTTCTTTGTACTAGATGACTCATTGACGAGAATATCTTATTGGCTCAAATAAATTTATCCACTTTTAAAAGCTCTTTGAAAAATAGTTTAAAATCCCTGTTCTATTGCTACTAACAGTTTCTTAGTCTAGGAAAGGTAGTGCTTTCTTCTCAGGTAAGGTTCAGTCAGTTTGCAATCAAATACTAAGCATGTGCTGGATTTTTTGATAGCAGAATCTGCCCCTGCCTTAGAATCTACTTGAGAAATTATGTGTGTAAGAAAACAAGTTCATGCGTAATCATTGCTATTGAAATAGAGGCTTATGTAGGTATTTATGGTAGGAATTGTCAGTTTATGTGGGGAGAGGGGATATCTTGTGGTCAGAGAACACAGCCTTTTATTTGGATTTGGAGCCCTAGTAAGCATTCATCTGTTCAACAAGGGACTGAAAAAGAGGAAATCAGAGCAAAATGTGTGATTGTATGTGAAACAGGTAACCATAAGAATTTGTGTTTGGGTAGTGTGGTACAAAAAGCAGTTCAGATCAGTAGAGAACTTGTATGTATTCCAAAGAGTTTTGTCTTTTCTCACATTCTGGAGTCGTTATTGAATGGCTTCAGTATGTAACATGAGCAGATTTGAATTTAAGAAAGATGACTGTGGCAGCAGTGCAGGGATGTATGGGAAAAGAATAATAAATTCAGAGACAGTTACAGTTGTACAAAAAAAAAAAACCGAGGGCCTGGAATCAGCAGTGGCAGTGGGTAATAGGAGTGATCTCTAGGGAGCAGAATCTACAGGACTGGGTTTCCAAATGATCATGACAATGAGGGGGGAAAAGGATTTTCAGGATTTGATGGAATGCCATTATTCCTATAGGGAGTAGCAGGTTTGAGAAGAAAAGTAATATATTTATTTTGGACTTAGTGAGCTGGACATGCCCAAGAGATGATTAGTAGTACGGGTCTGGAAACAATAAGGGGGCTTAATATAATGGGAAATACAGATGGAAAGTCATCAGCATATACCCAAGGGTGAAAACTCTAGTGGTAGATTAAGAGAAGTAGGTTGGGGGCTGAATCCTGGAGAAAAAGCAGCATTTAAAGGATTGGAAAAGGAGAAGTTGTTATGAGAAGAAATGGTTAGAAAGATCAGCAGAGAACAAAAGAGATGAGTGCTATCATCAGAAAGAACAGAGGAGGGTTTTTTAAAGAATGTGGCAGTAGTCATAGACTTTGCCAAAAATGAAAGAGGATGAAGATAGGTAATAGATGAGGTTTGGCGAATAATTCAGTGTTAGTTTCCAGGGGCTACCATAACAACTTGAGACAAGCTGTGGCTAAAAACAACAGAGCATTTATTTCCTCGCTGTTCTGGAGTCTAAAATTTGAAATCAAGATGTCAGCAGGGCTGTGTCCCCTCTAAACGATTCAGGGAAGAATTCTTGTTTCTTTCGGTTTTTGGAGATTCCTGATAATCCTTGACTAGTGGTGTCCCTATAATTTTTGTCTCCCTTTTCACACAGCCTTCTCTCTGCATCCTACTTAAAAGAACACTAGTCATTCGACTTAAATGCCAATATGCAGTATGGAAGTTAAATCATCTTCAAATACAGGTTATCCCCACCTGTTGGAATAGAATATTCCTATCTGGTATGATATGGTAAATTATTTTTTGATTCTGCGAATGAGAAAAAAAAAATCCACATCCACTAATGGGGATAGAGTTCTCTGATGTAAAAAAAACCAATTGAATTATAGAAATAGGAACATTCTCCTTTCAGCTAGCAGGGGAGGCCTGCATCATAGTGCTCCTCAGGAAACAAAAAGGATAGGCGTTCTTAATTCACCTCTGTTCTCAAGTTCATAATTCTTTAAAAAAGAGGTTTTTCTTTTCAGAAACTAAGAACAATACAATGTGTTATATAATATGATACTAAATGGAAGGTAACTGTTAGCTAATGGAAGTTAAAATAAGTATGGAGAAAATATTGTTTCTTTCCCTACATATGTAATACTGAATACAGTTTCATACTATTTGGTTTTGATTCTTCAGGTGGCAGGGCAGAAGGAACCCTCCGCTCAGCTAAAAGTGAAGAGTCTCTTACTTCTCTCCATGCAGTTGATGGTAAGACTAAAAGCATCAATTGTTTTAATCTATATTTCATAAAAGAACACAACAATTGAGAATATTTTATAAATATATGCTTGATGAGTGGGCTGTAGACTGTCATTTCCCAAGGATACTGGCATCAGTTTAGCTTTGTCCATTAATGTTTTAATATGATACTGTCTAGATTAATCTGTCTATATTCAGACCATACTCTTTTTCAGTATCATGGAGTATCATCATCTTGTTTATTAACTTATCTAACTAACTGCCAGCTCCTCATTGACTAGCGGGGGGTCTGTCTGATGTGATCCAAGAAATCCCGTGCTTGGGTGACTGATCTCTTAGAGTTTTTTTTCTTGATTTTCCATTTTACTGCAGAGAGAATGTTTCACAAAAATGATGCAGTGGCCTGGGTAGACCGTAGTATTAACCAGAAAAAATTGTTTAGGTAGGGATTAATTTTATAAGTGGTCAACATACTAGTGAATAATATTTATGTTAAGACAATTCCTTATTGCCTTTTTATAGTACATTTTCACTGTGGCACTTCCAGTCATTGTAGTAGAAAGAGGAGATGGAGGACTCTTACCAATTGGGTATGCAGCAATATCCTAAATTGTGTGATACTTTGCCACTCTTGAGAACTTCTCCTGAGAAACTTAAAGCCTGTTCTTATTAAAGAAAGCAATAAATCATTTTTGTTAAAGTATCTGAAAAGAATCTTAACTATATGAAAACACTTGATGAAATTGTAGAGCTTTTAAATTAAGTTCAATTATTTTGAAACTGGGATGTTATGAGGATTTTCCCCACCAAAAAAAAATCTCCTCTGTCATTTATCCAAAACATTTAAAGTGATAAATTCTATCTCATAAGTCATGCGATAAAATAGCACACAAAGAAATGAAAACTTGCCCAAAGTCACAATAAGAGTCAGTGCTTGTAATAGAATCCACGCGCTCTCAATCCTTTTCCCTGTTGAAACTGTTCCATTCTGCCTTCGACCTCTAATTACATCACATGTGTTTTTCATTTCACTTTTAGTTTGGTAGTTTTATCTGTGCAACCCAAGAGACAATTACCAGAAATAAAATAAGAAGTAACATTTTCTTACCCTGTACATTTCTGCTATACCAAGTAGGTGGCTTATCATGGTATTATGTATCCTATGACATTCACACTTTGATACTGTTATCCATTTTTACCAGGTGATTCCAAGCTGTTCCGACCCAGAAGACCCAGATCTAGCAGTGATGCATTGAGTGCCTCTTTTAATGGAGAAATGTTGGGGAATCGCTGTAATTCCTATGATAATCTGCCCCATGACAATGAAAGTGAGGAGGAAGTAGGGCTGCTCCATATTCCAGCTCTGATGTCTCCTCATTCGGCTGAGGATGTGGATTTGAGCCCACCAGACATTGGAGTAGCCAGCCTGGATTTCGATCCAATGTCATTTCAGTGTAGTCCTCCTAAGGCCGAATCAGAATGTCTGGAGAGTGGTGCTTCCTTTTTAGATTCCTTAGGATACTCCAAGGATAAAACAAGTACCAGTATAAAGGATGCAGAAGCAAGTGGTAACCAGTCGCAGACTCCAGGAAGCACTGCAAGTTCTGAACCTGTCTCTCCTCTTCAGGAGAAGTTGAGTCCATTCTTTACCCTGGACTTGAGCCCAAATGAAGAGAAATCATCTAAGCCAGCCTCATTCACTGAAAAGGTTGTCTATGCTTTCTCTCCAAAGATTGGACGTAAATTAAGCAAATCACCTTCTATGAACATCTCTGAGCCAATTTCAGTGACCCTTCCCACGAGGGTATCAGAAGTCATGGGTACAATTTCAAACACAGCAGCTCAGAATCCACCTTCTCCAACCTGGAACAAAAGTATTGAAGAAAGTGATGTCACAAATAGATCTCCTACCCAAGTAGTGAAGATGAAAATAAATGAGAATGAGACTCAAGCAGAATGTGAGTCTGAAGTCCAGCCCCTGGACCAGGTGGCTGCTGTAGAAGTAGAGTCGCCAGGGAAGGAGGAGCAGGTCGTCTCCAGCAGTCAGAGTAAGGCTATACCTTCTGGACAGACTCAGACAGGTACCATTTGTTTTCCTCCATTCTTTGTTTAAGATAAGAGGGCTCTTCAATCCTGTGTGCCATCCGTGCCTTTTAAGAGAGAAATTTGCTCCACAGCTAGCCTTTAATCAAAGAGAAAGTTTCTCTGTTTGGTGCTGATGGCTCAAAGCCCTAATTAAAAGCAATCAAACAAAAGTCCCCCAAAGGGCCAGTAGTCCTGCTTCAGACCTTCATAAAGTCCCCTTACCTTTTTGGACGGTCAGAATTCGTGGATAATTTTTGCACAACTTCGTAGCTCTTGATTTCTTTTCTAATAAAATATCTGTATTATAGCCTTACAAGTTAACCAGCCAGCCTGCACCATCAAATGTAAAAACTAATAACAGTCTGCAAGCACTTGAAGCTTGTTTTCTAAGCAGTCTTTTCTGAGCCAGATGAGGGACCTGCTTTTTCCCCCCATCTCTGTGGCAATTCAAGAGGAGATTGCAGTCTTTAAACATTCTTTGTTTTACATTTCCTTCTGAACCAGATGTGTTTTCTACAGCATTTGCATGTGGGATAGAAGATCGTGGATTGTCATTTTGAAATGTGGAAGGCACCTATTTTTTAGTGATCAAAATGGGGAGTGTTTGGCTTTCCGTATAGGATAACAAAAGCTACCTTTTCACTCTCATTTTTTTTCCCAATTTCCCACCAGGAGCAGTTACCCATGACCCCCCTCAGGATTCCGTTCCCGTCAGTTCAGTCTCTATTATCCCACCACCACCGCCTCCGAAAAATGTTGCCCGCCTACTGGCGCTAGCATTAGCTGAGTCTGCGCAGCAAGCCTCAACTCAGTCACTGAAGAGACCAGGGACTTCCCAGGCTGCTTATACAAACTATGGAGACATAGCAGTAACTACAGTTGAAGACAAACCACCTAGTTCCTACTCTAGTGTTACTCTAGATAGAGCCTGTTTCCAAACTGATAGGCCAGCCGCACCATTACACCTCCAGAACAATGCATCTGGGAACTGTGACCAGCCTGTGCCAGATGCAGCAGCCATGGAGGATCACACCAATTCCAAAGCAACTGAATCTGGGGAGCAACTCCACCAGGCAGACTTACCAGGGACTCAGCCACATCGAACCTATTTATCCAGAGACCCAGAAAAGACCAGAATCACTTCAGTTCCTTTGATAGACTCTAAGTCTGATGATCTCATAAATTTCTCTGAAGACCAGCCAGGGAGGACCAGTATGCCAACGGTCTCCTTTGCGGATCAGGACCAGTGTCAGCTTCATTTCTTCAGTGAAGAGGAGCCTCCTTCTTACCTTGGTGCAAGTGTGGAAAAGTCCCAGCACCCTTCAGAACTTGCAGACAAATCTCTCACACCTTCTAATTTGCCTCGTGACAAAGTCTACCCTCCTTCTGGGTCCCCTGAAGAGAATACCAGCACAGCCACCACAGCTTACATGACAGCTACTCCAGCAGCAGCTGAAATAAGCGCCAGGGAAGCCAACTGGGACTTGGTGGAACAATCCACCGCAGCGGACTTTGCTGCTGCCACCCTTCAGCGTACTCATAGAACTAATCGTCCCCTTCCCCCGCCTCCTTCCCAGAGATCAGCAGAGCAGCTACAGGTCGTGGGGCAGGTACAAGCAGCAAGCAATATAGAATTAACTAATTCCCACAAGGTAAGTAGGAGAGGAAGTCTGCGAGATGAAATGTACTTTTTCCAAAGGTATGTCACTTTTCCGCAGGGTGCATTATTTTCTTTGAGTCAGATAAAACATTTATTTTAAGTCCTGTGGCAGGTTTACAGGAACCATTTCACACTTGAGCTTGGAATCTGCTATTACCTTGATGCTGTTTTTTTTTGTTTTTTTTTTTCCCCATGAGAAAGGAGCAATTACTTGAGAACTATAGTTGGGGTCTGCCTGCTCCTTTTTCTTCTAAAACATACTTGTGGTTTCTTCATAGTCATCCAAAGAGATCATGATAAAATGAGTCAAGCTGAGCTTTATGTATCAGGGTTTCATAGTTGTTTTTTTCCTTAATTCCTCACTGACTCATTGTGACCTTGGGCAAGTCATTTAAGCACCTTCTGCTGGTTACACACTGCATGATGAAGGTGCTTTATTCTCTAAATACTTGTAGGACTTTCTGCCTTGCAGGCTTTTTAAAAGTGTAGGAGATTATAACGCATTGGGACTTTCTGTTATTTTCTCAACATTGACCAAAATAGGTAAGCACCAGTGAGAAGAATTTTGCACAAAGCTAGGGTTTCTTCCTAATTTTCTTGTATTTTAAAAAAGCACCCTTTTTTTGTGGCCACCTTGAACTAAAAGGACTTCAATATCTAGTATTTAGTAAAAGCTTCTGTTTCAAGTAGTTGCTCCTCAAGAATAGCATCTTGTAGGGCCTCCCTGGTGGCGCATGGGTTGAGTGCAGTGCTGTGAAGCTATCCACAGCCTCTGCAGTGCCAGTTCGATTCCTGGACCTCCAGGGAGATTCCCACATGGCGCAGCAGACCTCTCCTGTCTCTCCCGCTGCTCCCCTCAGCAGTATATTGCGGTCATTCTGCCTGTTCTGCTCCCTGCTTTGTCTCTGGTGCATTCTCTCATCCTCCCGCGCCTCTGGCCTATACCCCAGTGCTTGTATAAATAAATAAATCTTTAAAAAAAAAAAAAAGAATAACATCTTGCAGTGTTGCCACGTGGATCAAGTTTGAACTTTGGTGCCTCACAGCAGGGTGGAATAGAAGGTGGGGGACATACAGCAACTGACTCATTTTAATGCACTCTAAGCAAGTCTTTTTATTACCTTTCTTTAGATTTTGAGGCTCAGCTATGAGTCTCTTCAAATTTCACTCCAGATGTAGTTACTATTTTTTTTAAAGATTTTATATCTATACATACAAGAACTGGGGTACAGGCCAGAGTTTTGGGGGGTGAGAGGATTAACCAGAGACAGAGTGGGGAGCAGAACAGGCAGATTGACTGAAATACACTGCTGAAGTGAGCAGTGGGCCAGTCAGGAGAGGTCTGCTGCACCATGTGGGTCACCTCCCTGGCCGGGGATAGAACTCATGCTGCAGTGGCTGAGGACAGCTTCAAAGATTGAGTCTTAACCCCTTGCACCACCAGGGAGGCTCCTATATTTATTATTTTTAACAAAATGGTGGTGACACTAAAGTAGACAGATAATCTGGGTATATGTGTTTAAACTTGACTGGTATTTGATTTAAGATAACATCTGGTAAGATAATGCCATAGGCAATCTCATCTCACGTGTAAAACATGTCCTAAATTAGAACCATTCTCCAGAGATGGTAATGGTTGTCGCTGCACAGTGCTATACTGACAGTGGGACAGGTTGGCCTTCCGGCCTGTCCACTGCAGCACATGGCTTGGGGAAGTTCAAGTTGCGACCCACAGCCTCAGCTTATAAGTGACAGATTTAAACAGTGTTTGAGCCCATAGAGGGGAGCACAAAAACAAGTATATTATCATCTTTCAGCAGGTTCAAGCAGGAGTCCCAGCTCCAGAGAGGCCACCTGAACCCAGAGCCATGCATGACCCTGCGGCTGTCCTCGTCGGTGATGGTAGTCTGGCTGCTCAGTGTCCAATCTCTGCTCCTGCTATCCAGCCAGGCCTTCCTGAGAAGGTGCGGGAAGGTGCCAGGGCCCCGCCGCTGCACCTGCGTGCCGAGTCTGTCCCTGTATACTCCTCCTGCGGCTTCAGCGCGCCAGTCCCCCCTACCAGGACACTGGAGAGTAAAATTGCTGCCGCCATGCACTCTAACAGCGCAGATGCCACAGGCAGCTCCGGTTTCCTTCCCTTTGTCACGGCTCCCTCGGCCTCTGTGGATGATCTTTTGCCTTTACCTCTTCCTGTCCCACAGCCTAAGCATGCTTCGCAAAAAATGGCCTATTCTACCTTTGTTAGGCCTGATTTCACCACTGAGCCCTTTGGTCCAGAAAACTGTGTGCATTTCAGTATGACTCCAAACTGCCAGTACCGCCCCCAGAGTGTACCTCCACATCACAATAAATTGGATCAACACCAAGTATATGGTTCCAGATCCGAGCCACCAGCCTCCATGGGTCCCCGCTATAACACCTACGTGGCCCCGGGAAGAAATGCATCTGGACACCACTCCAAGCCATGCAGCCGGGTTGAGTATGTGTCTTCGCTGACTTCCTCCATCAGGAGTGCTTGTTACCCTGAAGATATCCCTCCGTACCCCACCATCCGGAGGGTGCAGTCTCTCCATGCCCCTCCATCTTCCATGATTCGCTCTGTTCCCATTTCACGGACAGAAGTTCCCCCAGATGATGAACCAGCCTATTGCCCAAGACCCCTGTACCAGTATAAGCCATATCAGTCCTCCCAGGCCCGCTCGGATTATCACGTAACCCAGCTTCAGCCTTACTTCGAGAATGGTCGGGTCCACTACCGGTATAGCCCATATTCCAGTTCTTCTGGTTCCTATTACAGTCCAGATGGAGCCCTGTGTGACGTGGATGCCTATGGCACAGTACAGCTGAGGCCCCTTCACCGCCTGCCCAATCGTGATTTTGCTTTCTACAATCCGAGGTTGCAAGGGAAGAACTTGTACAGTTACACTGGTTTGCCCCCACGTCCCAGGGCCAACATGACTGGGTATTTCTCTGGTAATGACCATAATGTACTCAACATGCCTCCAACTGCTGATGTCAAGCACACTTACACCTCATGGGATCTGGAGGACATGGAAAAGTACCGCATGCAGTCCATCCGGAGAGAGAGCCGTGCTCGGCAGAAGGTGAAAGGGCCAGTTATGTCTCAGTATGACAACATGACCCCAGCTGTGCAAGACGACTTGGGTGGGATCTATGTCATCCACCTGCGTAGTAAATCAGATCCTGGGAAAACTGGACTCCTGTCAGTGGCAGAGGGAAAGGAGGGGCGGCACCCAGCCAAGGCCATCAGTCCCGAGGGAGATGACCGCTTCTATAGGAAGCACCCAGAGCCAGAGTTTGATAGAACCCACCAACACGGGGGATATGGCAATGGACAGCCAGAAAAACCATCCCTCCCTCAGAAGCAAAGCAGCCTCAGGAACAGGAAGCTTCATGACATGGGTTGTAGTCTCCCTGAGCACAGGGCACATCAGGAAGCAAGCCATAGGCAGCTGTGTGAATCAAAAAATGGGCCACCTTACCCCCAGGGAGCTGGCCAATTTGATTATGGGCCCAAAGGGATTCCAGACACTTCTGAGCCAGTCAGCTACCATAACTCTGGAGGGAAATATGTCACATCAGGGCAGGAGTCTTTAAGACTGAACCATAAAGAGGCACGGCTCTCCAAAGAGCTGGAGAGGCCTCGGGCTAGGCAGCCTCCTGCCCCAGAGAAGCACTCCAGAGACTGCTACAAGGAGGAGGAACACCTCACTCAGTCAATAATCCCACCCCCTAAACCAGAGAGGAGTCATAGCCTGAAACTCCATCATCCCCAGAACGTGGAGAGAGACCCCAGTATGCTGTACCAATACCAAACACATGGCAAGCGTCAGAGCAGTGTGACTGTCATGTCCCAGTATGACAACCTGGAGGGGTACCACTCCCCGCCCCAGCACCAGCACCAGCGAGGAGGCTTTGGAGCAGCAGCAATGGGGACATATGTGCCCTCTGGCTTTCCCCATCCACAGAACAGGACATATGCCACAGCTTTGGGTCAGGGGGCCTTCCTGCCCACAGAGTTGGCCTTGCAGCATCCCGAAACACAGATCCATGCAGAATGAGCCCTGGGAGCAATAGAGTTGAAGCAGCCTCTGCTGGACAGTGGACTGTTCTATTTTTTTCAATAACCAAAAAGAGTAAAAAAAAAAAGCTACAAAACCCCTGACCACATTAAAAAATATGAAGAAAAATAAATCACCACTCTTTTCCTCCCTTCCCTGCTTCATTACCACCTCTTTCATCTATAGACTGTGTCATTTTTGTCATTAAAAGAGATCTGAATGATGGTAAAGCACTGTGTTGAAAACCTAGTGAAGAAATTTGTCACAGGCCATACTTGCCACGTAGGGCGACTTTGTAAGAGCTTGAGGACGCCTTTAGCTGAATTTGAATTTAACTCTGTCCTTAGTGTTTGCTGTCTAGTTCAGAGCAGTTTGCAGCTGTTCCTGGCAGGCTTTTGCACTTTCTCTTGTGTTTCTGTTTCCTTCCGTGGCCATGCAGTCTGCCCAGATTGACATTCAGTTTTCTCACTTCATTCTCCCAGTCTTTGAAGGGTCTTGTGAGTGAAATTAGATCTGAACAGCTTCTCCCTGATCCTTCAGATAAGTCTTTCTGACAGTTCACAATGTTATAAAATCATTAAGCCTTTACATGAAGAGTCGTCATAAAGTGTCAGACCATGTAGATGCAGACTGAATCATACCCTTTACATTATTTTCATGCTTGCTCTCACAGTTCAGTGAACCAGGCTCAGGTCTCTGCAGAAAGGAGTTTTTAAAGTTAGAAGTAAGGACGTTTCTTAGGTGGAAGTCGGTGAAATTGGTGTGTCAGTGCTTCTAATGTGTTGCCTGCCTTCAGTTAATTTTTTTCTCAATATTATTTGGCAAGTTGTAATCCCAGCAAACATTTCATACCATATGGTCTTCAACAGCAACTTTTTTTTCACTAGAAAAAAAATTAAATAGCGTCAAAAACCAGCATGATTTGACTAGATAATTACACAATTTATCATGATTACAAATCTACATGTTAATTTCTTTTTGTGAACCAGAATAGAGGTTTCCTGGGAATTCTCACGGTAGCTATGAATTATCTGTTAGTAAGGTGAAAATTCTTAGAGTAATCACTAAATGTATACAACCATTCACTGGTTGGAATTCTGGCGCTTACCGTGTGTCCTCAGGAATCATCATGCTGGTTGTTCACTCTGTACTCTCTGATCACAGTCTCACTGTAATTGTCATCTATACCAGCGTGTCATGTATAGCTTTTATACTGTAGACATGTTAAACATGTTTAATCCCCAAGACTTTCTTTTGAAAGTTGCATTCCTGATTAGGGGTAAACGCCTCTCTCGCCCAAGTCCATTTCAGTTTCTCAGCCCTCCTCAGACTAAAAAGGCAGTCCTATATTTACAAATTGAGTTTTGGTTGTCATTTCATTCCATAACTCTGAATAGTACTTGAGTTTCATACATTCACATGTTTTAAATAACTCAGTTTGTAGAAGACACTAGGAGAATTTCATTCCGTGTATTGGATGATTGCTGCTCCAGCTTTTTAAAACTTGTAATTTTATTTAGAGCAAAGGAAGAAATCTTCTATGAGACAAAACTCATGCTGCTATTATTGCTGTGAAATTGTGTGAAGATTAGGGTTCATGCCAATTTTTTAAAAAAAATTAAGCGTGCATTTTCAAAGGTTTATATTTAGAAAAAAAAATCTTAACACATTTATGTATATGAAAAAATCTATAAGGTTTTCTTCTGTTTCCCCAGAATTATCAGAGGGATTCAATAAAAACCATGGCAGAAATCTTGAAATACAGATATGGGAAAGGTCTGGAAACTTACAGACCTTTCCACTAAAGTGCAGACGCAAGGGGCATCATCCCGTCATAACAGTAATCCTAACAGGCTGCGGCTCGTAGCACGCAGGCACCTGGGTGCTGTGTTCAGGAGTTTGATCTGTGGTGACTGCAGCTCGAATTAACTTTTTTTTAACTACAACTATATTTTGTCTAGTAGGCAGCCCATTGCCCCTTTGAGATTGTACAAACCCTCTTAGGTTCTCAACCAGCAGCGTGGAGATTAGAGAGAGTTGCTGGTGTGACAAGGAGCTACTGTTGGCTTAACTGAACCCAGAAGCTTGTGGCTGAAGAAGTCCTGTCCAATTTTAATATTTGTGGATTTGTCATCATTTTGATTACTCCTGGAATCAAAATCTATTTTATAAATACTAAGGTTAGTTCCTCAAAGTAATTTGATATCCTCTGGGTTTGAAATTATCAGGTAAATATTTTGAATGCAGAATAATGACTCAGATTACAGATGTTAAGTGTGAAACACAAACTTTAGGTAAAATCTAGAGTTGTTTCATGTAACGTACATAGATACAGCCTTAACTTGGATTCAGTTATTTGAAGCACTTTGCCTGTATCTTTTCCTTTCTAATCTCATAGGGTAGAAATTGGATGGCAAATCACTGTGAGCCAGGTTACCTCAGCATAGTTCACCTTGGGTGTGACTTCACAAGAGCAAGCAAATGTTCTTTCTTGGAAATGTTGACGTGGAGCATTCTGATCAAAGAAATGGAGCCGCCTTATGCATTAAATCTACAATTTAATTCTACTGGTATTTTCATAGTCATTTTCCAGAGTTTATCTTTTTGATAAAATGTTGATGCCACAGCTTGGTTTGATGAAATAAAAATTCCCTGGAGTCTGGCCAGAACCTTTGCTAACAGCCCCGGAGGTGCCATTTTCTTATTAATAAATTTCATCTGAGCCTTATTGCTTACTATACTAGGTTTCCTTTTAAACATGCAAGTCCCTGGGGGGTGGTCCCAAGGATAGGGCCTGAATATATATAATGACAAAGCATTTTTTCAAAGTTAGGGTCAGGTTGAAAAATTCTAGGACTAACTGTAGAGAAGAGGGACCATTTACGTGAGAAAGCACGGAAGGGTAGGTTACCATATTTGAAGCAGCAATACATTCATCCCATGTAAACTTGAAACTTTTCAAAGAAGCCTGCAAAGTCCATATTTCTGTTCCCAGCCCTGCCAGTCAAACATTTTCAGTATGCTTCAAAGTTTCGTCTGAGCAGAATGTGTAAGGAAATAAGAATGAAAGCAAAAGTATGTCAGAAAGTTACTTCCAAATGGTTAGAGGCATGTGATTTTCAGTACTGTGTGTTACGGAAATGTCAGGAATGGTATATTTTAACTGCAAGATAATGTCAGTGTGCACAGAGGGTCTTCTTTTCCTTTTCTGATTAGTACTGTTAGTGTTCAAAGAGTAAAGATGGTTGTTTTACAGTTTAGATTCCAAGGTAGCAAAACCTGATTTTTCAACCATGACCTGCATGAGAGAAGCATCCTAGAAAGTCTTAGATCATATTTTTAAGTTCTTAACTTTAATTTATATAGTGTTTTTTTATGTTTTAATATTTTTGTGAACTGGTGTAAATTGTTAATGCATATAAGCTTGTGTATTTTTGTAAATAGTTTTGTGATTTATTTCTTGACCCATATGTAAATATTTAGAGTCTCATTTCTTCAAAACTTATTTGAAGCTGAGTTGTGGGTTTGGGGTTTTGTTTGTTTCTTTGTTTTGATTGGGGGTGGGGGGCAAGAAGGGATTTTGTACTCTGCTAATCCAGATAACGCTATCTTGTGGTTTAAAGCAAATGTCCCACTGGAAGCAATTCAGATATCAACAAAATTATTTCAGGTTAAAACAGACTTCTTTGTGTATGTGTTTCCTTTTTAACCTAACGTGAACTATAACAAAACAAATGGGACACTTGACTGGGGATATCGAGACCAAAAGATTAATGTTTATTTGACATGTTATTACATCAAATGAGATGTTTTGTGAAGGAAGGGATTTAATGATGATAACTGTACAGTATACTACAGCCTGGCCCAGTTTTCACCAGGTCAAACATTATTATCTTCAGAACTGCTGTGGGCTCTTGATCTGGACAAAGTCTAGGATGGCCATAAGGAATCTCTGCTCTGCCCTAACTTCTAGCTTGCAGTTCCCAGGAAACTGAATATTAATTGGCTGTTCTCAGGACTCTCCAGAAGGGGATTCTGAGTAACAGCCATATTTCTAATGATCCCCACAAGGCATCTTGAGCATCCCATTACTTTTCAGTGTAGAATGACCCACGGGGAGTCACTCCTGTATTTGGTCACCTGCAGCAAGTGGGTTTGTGGCAGGCAAGGTATAGTGTCCCAATGAGATGTCATAGGTCTGAACCAAGTGCTGCAAGTAACCCAGCTGCCCAACAGGGTCCAGACTGTGCTGGGCGAGAGTCCTTCCCAAAAGACGTATTTCAGTATCAGTCATGATGTTTAAAAGAAAAGGAACCCACTTCAGTATTCAGCTATTGAAATACTAGTTTTTCTACTAGGAATCATAAATTACAAGTCATTCTGTAAAATATGAGGTCTTATCCCATTTTGCCACTAATAGGGAAAGTAGTCTCACTAGTACTGATGGCCCTGGTGAGGCACCTGCATTCCACACTCTGGACTATAAGCATCGATGCAGCTGCTTCCTATAAACACTCCCTGATATGGGTTTGTTTTTTTTTTTAATAGAGGCATGTTTTTATTTATTTATTTGTTTATACAAGCACTGGGTGCAGTCAGAAGTGCGGGAGGGTGAGAGAATTCACCAGAGCCAGAGCGGGGAGCAGAGCAGGCAGAAGGACCGAAGTACACTGCTGAGGGGAGCAGTGGGCGGCAGGAGAGGTGTGTGCGCCATGCGGGACCCTCCTCCTGTGGCCGGGAAGCAGCCGGGGATCGAACCGGCGCCGCAGAGGCTGCGGGCAGCTTCACAACACAGCGCTCAACCGCTGCGCCACCGCAGAGGCCCCCAATAGGGTTCTTATGGAAACTGATTAGAAGGGATTAAAGGAAAGACATGGATCGCATTTCCATTGGATCTTCTAAGCTTTCTGGGACTCTCATTTCCATACCAACTATTTCGACTCCCAAGTTTACATCATGCTGATGAAAATACAATACTACTACTTAAAATGTATATTGCTATTTGAAGAATTGGTGACACATACATTGATGGTATTTGGGATTTTAGTCGTTTTGGTTCTATGGGAAAAGGCACACATTTTTAAAGTAATACTAATTTTCCACTACAATGAAAATTTGGGTACGTTTCTCACATAGTTGAGAATGTACCCCTTAAAAAGATAAAATTGTGGTTAAATTTTTGTTTCATATATTTGAATTTAAATATTTCCAGACTATATTTCAGACCACAAACTCTGCTGTAGGAATCCCTGAAGGTTCATCATACCCATGGTTTTCTGTACCATAATGTAGTGAAACCCTTGGGGAAACAGGGAGAGCAAAGGAACATTTCCTTCTATACCCAATGCTCTATCACCACTTTTATGTTCTTGCATTTGTTTTTTTGATTTTCTAAATCTTTTGCTTTCTGCTATCACCTCTTGTTACTGTCTGAAAACTACCTGTAAACCTTCTTCTAAATAACCTTTTGAAATAAATAAGCTTGTCAAAATGGTGAGCAGAAGAACCTCTGAACTGGAGCCCAGAAAGAGTTGGACTTTGTGTCAGATATTTTTTATTACCCTGAGCCTCTTGTCTCCTAACAGTTTCTTGGACAGCTGAGTTTCAGAAAGTGAGATATTGCATGCGTTTCTTAGAACGTCTCCTTAGAAGGGAGAATGAAACAAAGATGATTGAGTTCTCTCTGCATTTGACATTTTATGACAAAGATGTATAATTAGACAATGGCATTTTCCCTGTTTAGAACTGCAAACTGCTCACCATGGACACTAGTCCATAGGAGACAGCATCCACAGGGAAGCCGTGTGCAGAAAGATCCCTATGCACACTACAGCTTCAGTTGCCACTGAGTCTTTCAATCCATGTTCTGTTTTTCGTTTCCTGAAAACATTTTGAAAAGCACCCTGAGATTTCTCAATCACTTGTTCACATTTCAAACTGAACAAGTAGTTCTCACACTTCAGAACCCACAGAAATACCTGGAAAAGAAAGCCAATTAAGTTTCCTTGAGCCACCATTACATGGTGATTCAGTAGGTCTGGGATTGGACTAGGAATCTACAATTTTAACACCACTCCATGGGATTATGGAACAGATGGTTGAAAAATATGGCCTGGAGAGATGCTTAATAGGTGTCTCTCACAGCAAATCCATCTAGTTATTTTAGCTCACCTGCATCTTGGTACCCTCTCCCATCAGTGAAACTAGAACAAAAATATATTCTTCATATGTCTGACTCCAGCATTTAATTAGTAAGCCCAGATTTGTTACAGTGACATTTCTCAAGGGTTGAACAGAACACTAGTACCCAGTGAAGGCTACCCAGATTCTTTACTGTCAAGTGCTGCAAAACTATGCAGCAGTTAACAGAAAAGAGGGAGATAGTATGCATATGTACTTGTGTCATTAAGAATTTAATCAGTTGGGGGCCTCCCCTGGTGGCGCAGCGGTTGAGCACAGGGCTGCGAGGCTGCCTGCAGCCTCTGCAGCACTGGTTCGTTCCCCGGCCACCAGGTGAGGGTCCCACCAAAAAAAATAAAATAAAATAATAGTTGGGTCAATCTTCCTGAAAAAGTTTTCATGTAGTTGACATGGGCCTTGCAGGAAGAGAGTCTTAGTAAGTAGAGATCTGAGACATAATTTGGTGTTTCAAATAAAACATCAGGGGAAGTTGGAATGTCATGTGGCAGTAGAGAAAGCCCTCGCTTCCTAGACAAGCAGCGTGATGGGAATGGAATCCTGTGTGGAACTGTCCCTGACTGTTACTACAAGTAATGTCTATAGCCCGCATAGAGCAATGTCACCCTTTCATTTCACTGCATCTGATAACTGTGGTTCAGTGAAATGGCCTGGGCCTCTTAGTCTCTCCTGCTAAGTCACTTTCTAAGCTGGTTTCACTGCATGGCTTGCCCTGCCCTTGTGCTCATTTACATGCTGGGTGGCAGGGGTGGGAGCAGAAGAGGACGATGAGACAGGGCTGGGGCTTTATGAGAGCTGCTAAAACAGGCAGCGTGACTCTTCACGTCTGAATGTTAAACTTGGTAAGTAAGGGTCTTTCCATTCTTAAACACACATACATTTTTCCAGATTCAAGATTTGTGAAAGCTAAATGCTTATCCAAAGAAGAGAGTGGAGTGATGGCCCTAGTGGAACTACTATAATCAGTTTCCTATTAATTCTCTATTAATTACCACGCATAGGACAATTCTGAAGAGTTCTGTGAATATTAACACTAGCTCAGTTTTCCTAACACTTATGTGAAGTAGCATTATTTCATGCCCCTTTACAGATAAACTCAGGGCCAGAGGATTGATGTCACATGCCTGAGCTTATGCCTCTGAGTTTGGTGGGATTCAGGCTAACTCTTGGGTCCTGAGTCTGCATCTCCACCATGCCACCTGCCCAGTAGACCTGCAAAACCATGAGTTCTTCCCCTAACTCTGGAGTGGAGAAGATAACAAGCTATTGATACTGATTTTCTGGGAAATCAACCCTTCCCTATCAGTATAGGCTTGGTATCATCACCAAAATTCCAATGCTAATTAAAAAAAAAAAAAAGTTTTTCTGTTTAAGCAAAGTCTGCTGCAGATCCAGCTGACCATCTGGCTAACAGTTGTCTGTGCAGCTACTCATCCATCCAGGCCTCCAACGACTCCCTGATTCTTTATATCATCTGAAGCACAAGTTCCTTCCTGGGAGGGGTGGCCAAGGGGAGCACACTAGGGATGTGACCCAAGTTTAAGTGGGCCCAGAAGCAATCAAGTTGTTCCTGCTCACAGCTGACAACCAGAACTGGCCTCAATGTCCTGACCCCAAATAGGGAGGGCAGCAATTTCAGTGTGTCCACTGTGTGTCAGGAAGGTGGTATCTGAGAGGGACTGACTCTTAAGTCGGCCATGCCACTAGCCGTTGGCTCGGATTTTCCCACTTACATGAGTTACTGACAGTCCTCTTGGTACCCGGAAACAGCGCTCCAGGTCACATCCTGAGACACGCTACTCACGCCCATTAGACAGGAGATCGAGGGGCCATGTAGAGCTGGCAGGTGAGTGGTTACTTCTGGGGTTCTTGCTATGGTGGCAAGAAGTTGACCCTGTACCCACACATTCATATTTCTAACCATAGGTTGGAAGGAGGCTTCTGGAAGTAAAGAGGGTGTGTCTTGCTCCAGTCCCTGAGAAACAAGGAAGCTTGCAAAGGAGCAGACAGGCTCTATGATGCTGTTTGAGAGTCAAATACAACCCCCGCCCTCTGCCTGCCACCCAGGCCTGCGACCTTGTTCTTCCCTAAATAAACCCAAACTCACTTCCACCTCAGCCTTTGCACCAGCCGCCTTCCTTTCCCAGCAAATCTCGGGTACCAGACATTGCGCGGCTTCTTCCTCACTTTAAGTCTCTTCCTCCTTGGAAAACTAGACTTTCTTTGATGACCCTCCCTAAAACAGCATCTCTTACACTCTCAACCCATATTCTCTGCTTTCCTAATACATGCATGTAATAGCCACATCTCTAGAATCTGAGCTCCAAGCCTCCCTGGTGGCACAAGGGGTTAAGACACAACCAATGAAGGTATCCGCAGCCTCTGCAGCACAAGATCAGTCCCCAGCCGGGATGACCCACATGGCGCAGCAGACCTCTCCTGACTCACCCGCTGCTCCCCAGTGTATTTCAGTCAGTCTGCCTGTTCTGTTCCCCACTCTGTCTCTGGTGAATCCTCTTAACCCCTACACCTCTGGCCTGTACCCCAGTTCTTGTGTACATAGATAAATAAATCTTTAGAGGAAAAAAAAAGTCTTTCCACTTCCAACTACCAGTGCCTTCGATGGCACTACAGCCTCAGTCCTCAGTATTTGTTGAGCAGATGAACCGACGTGTCTTATCCGTGCTGGCACGGGCAGGCATGTGCGCGGAAACCCTTTGTTCAGAAACTGCAATCGCGCATTTATCTTTCTTCAGCAGCAAGATTGAGGCGGACATCACTTGCTTGGCTCATGTTGCAAGCACAGTGAACAGCCTGCTATTTGTTGACGGCCGCAAAAGGAAGCCAGGAGTCTGAGATTAGCTCAAATTCAACTGCCAGAGCGACAAGACGCTGCTAGAATTAGTTCAGAAAAACCTTCTCACAGGAGGTCAGCTTTAAAAGTGTTTGGAAAGTAGAGAAGGGAAGTTACTTGGGCATGAAATGGAGATTTTCTAAGTGCCTGGAGAAGGCTCCCCCCACATGCTTGTCCCCCTGCTGACCATCTTAGGGTGTGGCTGGGGAAACAAGTAATGAACCCTTCCAGGCCATGGCAACTTCGGAAGTGAAGAGAAGGTTAAGGCTTGGGTAGTGTCAACAAACATATATACACATGGTCTCCAGCGTGTGATGCCTTGATTTTTCCATGGCATGATGGTGTGAAAGTGAGCAGGGGCCTCGCTGTCATGCTCTCGTGGTGCTGGGCACGGTCTGGAGCCATGGCCCCTTGTCAGCTCTGCCAGCTTGCAGAGGGTATATCTGGATGCAGCCCACCCCAGGTCAAGGAAGATTTGTAATAACCCATGACCCAAGTTGTGCACAAGGGGTGGCAGGGTGGAGGGAAACAAATGACTTAGCTCCCGAATCCTCTGCTTCCCTCAGTCACCTGAGGGGTAACTAGAACCCCTCACTGGTGTTACCTGGACCCTAGAGGATAAAGTCACTGGGACTCCGAGACCCAGAAGCCTTGAGAACTCTCTGAAACAGGCGTGATCTCACTATTGCTTGGTGCCTCCTGTTATAGACGAGACCCTTGCTTTGGGGGTCCTCTCCAGGTGTTTTACCTTGACCCTTGACCCTTCTTATCATTCATAATTATTAGGGTGCCAAAAGCTATCTTGGCTTTTGATTTCTATGACCCTTCTCTTAAAAATAAACTAAAACATGTAGGAGTAGCTTCTTTAGGAAAAGGCAACACCATCCAATGTTGGACTCAAAAAATATTTCGTTACACCAAAACAAATGAGTATTCCAGGCTGCTGTACTAAGCACATGATGTGCCTACCTTGAGTAATGTCCTGGGTTTTCTTGAATTTTCCATTTTACAGGGATGAATATCTTTGTCCCCTCTTTTAGAGAAGGTGACACTTGTCCAGACACCACCCTGGTATTCCAGGTAAGCACCCGACACGCTGGCGCCTCCTGGGTTCCTCAGCAACACACTCAGCCAAACTGTGACCACATTGTAGTGAGGAGAGGAGATTAGGATCAGCCTCTTGTTAGGAGAGGATTTAGACTTGTCCTGCTTGACTCTAAAGGGTAGAAGCAATCAGAAATGGATATTCATCCAGCAAGGAGGCTGAGGGAGGGATTGAAACACTGGATGGATTTTGAAGACACTGGAGTCCCTCCCAAGCCTGAGCTGTGTGGTATTTGTGAAATCCTAAGGATCCATGACCTAGGCCACCTGCGGTCACCCGGGAGCTGCCTTCTCTGCCTCCCAGTGGGGGAGAACTCTTCCTCCTCTCCCTCTACTTGGCATCTGCCCCTCCATGACTTCAATAGCGTTTAAGATGAAACCCAGACTATTCATTCTGGCCTGTGTGATCCAGCATGTGCTCTGTCTCTCCCCAAACCTGTTCCTATTCCAGGTTCCTTGTACAGGCCTAGAATTTTGCTTTTAGTTGCTCTGCCTAGAATGCTCTTCTCGGGCCTCCCTGGTGGCACAGGGGTTAAAGTCAGCACTATCAAGCTATCTGGCAGCCTCTGCAGCACTAGTTGGGTCCCTGAGAGGCCAGGGAGCTACCCACATAGTGCAGCAGACCTCTCCTGTCTCGCCCACTGCTCCCCTCAGCAGTGTATTTCAGTAGATCCACCTGTTCTGTTCCCCACTCTGTTTCTGGTGAATCCTCTCACCCTCCTGCACCCCAGCTCTTGTATGCATAAATAAAAATAAATCTTAAAAAAAAATAGAGTGCACTTCTCATGGAAGTTCACTTCTCCTGAGATCTCACTCACTTCATAGAGAGGTTTTTCCTTGATGACCTAAGAGGAAGAAGACACTGAATTATCACTTCTCATCTCTCAGAAATCACTTGCACTTATTAGTTTATCTATCAGTTGTCTCCCTCTCTTCACTAGTTCGCAAGCTCCGGGTTAGCTTGGCAAAAGGTAGGTACTCCACTAGGTTTGTTGAGTGAATAAATGAATGACTAAGAAAATAAATAATGCTTAAGAAAGAAAGGGATCATGGCTACAATAGCTTTAGAAGTGTTCTTTTGCCTGAGCTCAGCCCCGTAAGGAAGAGCTCTTCTCTGTAACCCCTGGAGTCTCCTCAGCTACAGAGACTAGGAAGACTGCATGGAGGTTGGCATTTGAAGGAACCACCAGATGGCGCTGTTGGCACATTTTTTTATTCACAAAGCTCCTGTTTTTTGAAAAGGCTCACTTGGACCTCCCAGTGTAACTCAATATATTGACAGCTGTTTTCTTCCTCATTTCATTTCACTCCACTTTTGCCAGAGCAGTTTAAGGGCAGTGAACTGACAGCAGATACAGGGAGCTCATATGAGAAGCCACACTGAAAAAAGAAGGGTAAGATTTAAACTGTGACACCGGATTTAGGCAAATGTGTAGGAAGAACCCTGGAGAGGGGTTTGCTTTCTTCATTATGAGGATTCTATAATTTCTAAGGATGATTTCATAGTTTTAAAATCTCAAATATTATTTACTGCTATTTTTAGGAAGTGGCAGAAAGACAGACTGGCCCCTCTGTTTTCATATGCTAAGTGCAGGCAGAGATTTGGAAACAGCAGAATTTGCTAAGCTGGTGCAAATCAGAATTCCTTCCACAGCTACAAAAATACAGATATCTGTGCCCCACTAAACTAGGTATATTTTTGTTGTCCAGGGGATTTGTATTTTCAAAAGGCACTTCCCAGAAGATGTAACATCACCTGCGATCTAAGATCCCCAGAAAAGCTCTAGCTCCCCCACCCCCAGCATTTATTCTATAACATTATCCAGTGGGCAGGAGTTGCATTAGAGAATACTCTTGCTTGGGGGAGAGAGAAAGAGAGACAGACAGACAGACAGCGACAGACAGAGACAGACAGGGTGGGGGGGGCGGGCATTCAGTATGTTAGCACAAGAGTTTGGGGTAACTGAACCACAATTGACCTTCAGTTACACCCCTTTGGCTGGGAATTAGCCTCAGGCAAGATATTTTGTTCTTTCAAAAAAATTTAAAAGCCTCTTAATACTGCTATGGTTCTCATAAGTTTTTTCAAAATGAGTCACATCTGTATGGTTCTATTTTTCTTGAAATTATAAAAATGCATTTAAAATGTCTTCTAAAAAAGAAATAAGTACCAAGCCCAAAACTATATTTCAGGTTTAGATTTCCCAACTCGGGCAATTTGGAAAATAACTGAAAATATTTTTATCACTAAAAGGAGCATCTCTGAGCTGTCCTTTATTACCTGACTCATCCATTAAAAATGCGTCATTGGGCTTTCACTGTTTTTCTGTGCTGGGGCTCTGAATATTGGAAGTGTACCCTCTTAGCCTCAGAGAATTTATAATCTCGCTGAGACCAGACAGGTGAAAGCCATCTAAGGTGATGAATATGTATGAGCTCATGTAATGAAATGTACATATATTATAGAACTTAATGGCAAGGAAGAACATTCAGGAGTTATTCTGCTTCACTGATTATTTATCATAAACCCTCATGGCAATTCACAGTTGTTGACCGTTATTGGCTTCTTTGAGAAATTCAAAAGTGCCTATGTGATCTAAACAGCTTCATTTATTAATAGCCACTAAGATCTATGATATGAACTAAAAGTGGTTTAAAATAACAGGCAAGAGTGCAGGCATGAGTCAGTCGCCTGGGCATAAATTCTTACTGGTTTTGTGACCTTGGTTGAGTCATTGGACCTCCTTAAACCTCTGTTTACTCTTGTCTAAAATAAGGATAATAGTACCTGTTTCATAACATGCTTGTGTAGAGCAAATGGGTTGATAGCAGGACTGCACTGAGAACAAATTCTGGGGCCTGCTGGTAAAACACTCCATGGAAATTCTTATTTTTCTTAAGGTGCATTCATAGTTAAACATTGACTTGAGAGAAGTGAAGTATAACTAGGAAAATACTTTGTGAGTTATTAGCAACAGCACACACATGAAGAAGGAAAGAGGGAATTTTATTTTGTTCCTAGTCAAGAGCTATTGAAACAAATATCCTTTCTGTCCGCTTCACTAAAATGTGAAGAGTAGAAAGGCAGTTTCCACTTGGTCCTTCGAAAGTATCTTTTTGATTTTTCCTATATGCACACCTGAAAGAATCAGCTGTGGCAATTTTACTGGAAGAATTTTTACCTTCTAGATGTGCAGGATGCGGGGCCTGGGTGAAGGGGCTCACTCATGTCCATGGCTCCTAAACTCTCACAACCATACAGCTGTTCGCCCCATGAATTCAATCCTTTTTCCTTTTGCCCCCAACTAGAACATTTAATTTGGGTTATTGCATTCCTCTCATTTTGATTTTTGAGTAAACTTATTAAATAGTTTGGGATAATACTTGAATAGAATTGTATTTATCAATCACCACAAACCAAAACACTGTCTTGTTAAAATTAAAAAATATCCAAAATACTTATTCTAATAATAAACCCCATTCATTGGGTACTTTCTCTTGCCCTTTAATGTTGATATGCCTGAAAACCTTCTCTGCTCTTACATTCTTCATGGGAAATCACATCCATGTCACAGATTTTCTTTTTCACATATTTGTATCTGTTGCTCAGGACTTTCTCTTGAACCCTAAACTTCAATCCAATATCCTCTTGGATCTCCCACCCGGAAGTCCCACAGGCTCCTCAAACTCAGCTTGTCTAGACCAACTAAGAATTTCCCTCCCTAAATTACCCTGTCTTCGGAACTCTCTAATTTCCCTTTAGTAGCTCAGTCTCTCCAGCCAGAGACTCCAGAGTTACTCTAACCCCACTTCTTGTGGCTTAGTTCAAATCCTCGTCAGTTTTCACTTACAGTATTACAATAACCACTTGTCTGGGCTCCAGTTTTTAAAATTCATCCCATAAAGTGCAACCAAAGCAACCCATTTGATTGCCCTCCCTCTGCTTGGGTTCTTGAATTAATCTCCCCATCACTGTTTCCAAACAAAGTTTGCTTAGGAATTCCCCCGGGCATCTTGAAAATATGTGGCGTCCCATGCCCTCCCTCAAGGATTATTATTCAGTGGATCTGGAATGGGCTCAAGAATCAACTTTTTTTTTTTAATTTTTATTTTTTTTCCAAAGATTTATTTATCAGGCCTCCCTGGTGGCGCAAGGGGTTAAGACACAACCTATGAAGCTATCTGCAGCCTCTGCAGCACGAGTTTGATCCCCAGCCAGGGAGCAACCCACATGGCGCAGCAGACCTCTCCTGTCTCACCCGCTGCTCCCGTCAGCAGTGTATTTCACTCAGTCTGCCTGTTCTGCTCCCCACTCTGTTTCTGGTGATTCCTCTCGTCCCCCACACCTCTGGCCTGTTCCATTTCTTGTATGATTTATTTATTTAAAGATTTATTTTTTTAAAGACTTATTTATTTTAAAATAAATAAATTTATTAAAATTAATAAAAATTAAATAAATAAAAATTAAATAAATAAAATAAGTAAAAATAAAATAAAAGTTATTAAATTTATTTTTTAAAAGATTTATTTATTGGGCCTCCCCGGTGGCGCAGCGGTTGAGCGCTGGGCTGTGAAGCTGCCCACAGCCTCTGCAGTGCCTGTTCGATCCCCAGCCACCGGGCGAGGGTCCCACATGGCGTGCAGACCTCTCCTGCCTCCCGCTGCTCCCCTCAGCAGTGTACTTCGTCAGTCTGCCTGTTCTGTTCACCACTCTGGCTCTGGTGAATTCTCTCACCCTCCCACGCTTCTGACTATACCCAGTGCTTGTATAAATAAGTAAATAAATAAATAAATAAATAAATAAATCTTTTTTTAAAAATCATTTATTTATTTATGCATACAAAAGGTGGGGTGCAGGCCAGAGTTGTGGGGGGTGAGAGGATTTACCAGAGACGGAGTGTGGAACAGAACAGGCAGATTGACCGAAGTACACTGCTGAGGGGAGCAGCAGGTAAGTCAAGAGAGGTCTGCTGCACCATGTGGGTTGCTCCCTGGCTGGCCAGGGATTGAACTCATGCTTCAGAAGCTGTGGATTGCTTCATAGTGCAGGGCTTAACCCCTTGCGCCACCAAGGAGGCCCAAGAATCAACTTTTTTTTTTTAAAGGTTGATTGATTGATTGATTGATTGATTGATTTATACGAGCACTGGGTACAGTCAGAAGCATGGGAGGGTGAGAAAATTCACCGGAGCCAGAGGGGAGAGCAGAAGGCAGATTGACGAAGTACACTGCTGAGGGGAGCAGCGGGAGGCAGGAGAGGTCTGTGCACCATGTGGGACCCTCTCCGGTGGCGGGGGATGGAACCGGCGCTGCAGAGGCTGCGGGCAACTTCGAAACCCAGCGCTCAACCACTGCGTCACCAGGGAGGCCCAAGAATCAACATTTTTAACAAATGCTCTGATCAAGGTAGTCTTCGGCTCCCATCCTGAGAAGCACTGCAGGGCAGAACAATTCAGGACTTATCTCTCTAACCTTACCTGTGTCTGTTCTTCCACTCATGCCCTAAAATCCAGCATTCAGGGTCAAGGTCCAAGAGGGCATTAGGCTAGGACCTCCATGCCTGCCACTCACTGAAGTCCACTTTCAGGATCTAAATGAAGGGGCTCTATCCCACAAATATAATAGGCAGAGGTAAGAGAAGTACCATGTTATTAATAGTTCAGACTAAGCCCAGTGCCCTTCAATTCATGGTTCTCTTATAAAAATTGAAATGCTGAACTTAACTTGCCAGAAGATAAAGGGAAGGAAGTGAGACGCTTCGCCAGAGTCAGCAGTGGCCAGGTCTACAAAGCTGCTTCTGAATTCATCCTCCCCATGGAAGACCGTGGCCTGCCCACCCTCGGGCTGAGATGTGAGAGTAGAGAGGGCTGCTTGGGTGAGGAGAAAGGCCTTACACAGTGAGCCGATTGCTTGGGAGCAGATTTAGGACAGTACCAGTCTTGGCCAACAATTTTTAAGCCACAGCAACTGCTCACCAAGTAATTTCTCTTCCCTGACTTCAGGTAAGGGGTCTTGGAAGGGAAGATTCTGGGTCAAGGCCAGAGATCCTTCTGGCAGCTCTCAGGTCGCTGAAGGAATGATGAACTCCAAGTCATTCATGGACACAACTCATGCTCCTCGCTATCAGACTTTGAAATACTCAAAGAAAACATTTATACAAAAAGTATTTGCAAAATTATAACTTTTGATTGAGGAATGAGACAAGGAAACTTGAATTACATTCCTCAGAGAATACAAATGAGTTTTGATGAAGCCTGTGGCATTTCTCAGGGTAAGATGTCTTATCTGGTTTAATTAAGACTTCCAAGATTTCTATTCTATGAGTGTCCATCATTCGAGACCTTTCTCTAGGGTAAAACCACAGCCAGTGGGAAGTTACCCATTACGAGCAATAAAGGACTCCAAAATACAAGCATCTCTCAGTGATTCTGCGGGGATAAAATGGGATCATAGGTCTGAAAGCTAGAAACATGAAATGGGGATTAAAATTAATATTCCGCCTGTGATAACATCTTCAGTGGATGAGGTTTCATTCAGAATCTGAGAGAGCTGGACTCTCTCGTAACCATAAACTACATTCAAGCTGATCCAACAAGGCAAGGCAGCCTGTTCCCAAACAAGGCAGGGCAGCCTGTTCCCACTTTCAGCTGCTGCCATATTCCTTGGCCTCATTGTGCTGGGGCCTGACTCACGCTTCTGTTGGGCCTGGCCGTTAGGATGTGCACAGCCTACAGGGGAGCCAGCTGCTGAGGGAGGACAGAATATTCGAACAGAGCTTGGCTGCTTTGGAAAACAAATTTGCAAAGGAAACTCCTTTAAGACAAGGTCCAGAGGTGACAGGAAACCGCCTTGCTGCCTCCCTGTGTTGCCATCCCAGCCCTCAGGAGAGCCCTATTTTAAGTTGAGGAAAAAAAGGTGACGAGAATTAAAATAAGCTTCCTGGAGACTCCAGATTTCCATTTCAAGTCTGTGAAATAATTTGCACATCAGGAAAACCTGCCAGCCTACTGGCCACTGGCAGGCTCCAGGCTCCTGGTCAGCAGGGTAGCCCCTCTGCATCGCCTCCCCCACCCACTGCTCCCACCAGCAGCACTGGGAATGAGCAGGGACCAGCATGCCCAGCCAGCCCCTACCACTGTCAGCTTGCCAAGAACAGGCAGGTCTGGACCGTTTCCTGAAAAGGGCCTGTGGTATTTGTGGGAGAGCCCCAGGGCCTGCTCACTTGCTTCTGCTTCTGAAGGGGCTGAGCTCTGGGTCGTCCACCTCACCCACCTTGGCACCTTCGGAAACCTGCACCCCCAGTTGTCTGAGGGCCAGTGTGCAGGAGGCCATTTCCAAAGTCTTGGAAGGAGAGAAGGGAGTGAGCCACACTGATGCTTCGTGTTTTGTTTTTTTTAAAAAAAAATTATTTGTTTATGCATGCAAGAGCTGGGGTGCAGGCCAGAGGTGTAGGGGGTGAGGATTCACCAGAGACAGAGTGGGGAGCAGACTGACTGAAATATACTGCTGAGGGGAGCAGCAGAAGATACAGGAGAGGTCTGCTGCACCGTGTGGGTATCTCTCCGGCCGGGGATCAAATTCATGCTGCAGAGGCTGCGGATAGCTTTATAGTGCTGAGTCATAATCCCTTGGGCCAACAGGGAGGCCTTGCTTCTTGTTTTATCTAGAGTCGCATCTCTGTGAGTACATCCAAACACAGCCAGTGTTGCTGAGCTCTTACATCATGTTAGCTCATCAGATCCTCAAATGTGTGAGGATGGTGTAATTGTTACCATTTGCAGAGGACACCGGCAGAAGGCCACCCATATCAGAGGTCTCAGTCCTTTGCATACATCGGATTCTCTTCAAGGGCTTGTGTGAACAGAGTACACTTTCTGATCTAGCAGAAGGGGACGTGGGGGGTACAAGACTTTGAGTATCCTGTCAGTTCCCAGGTAACACTGACGCTGCTGGCCGCAGAGACACAGAGGTGCCCAGGGCCTCAGACCAGACACTAGAGGGCCACCTGTTTGTGAGAAGGGCTGTGTGTTGGGGGTGGGGGGTGGCGGGGTGGGCATGCACAGGCCTGCCCAAGGCAGGACAGAGGCAGGACTCCACTTTACATGACTTCTGAAAGAGAGAGGTGTCTTCACATCACAGTAAATGGAGCTTCTTCCTCCTTCCAGCCCCACTTTTGGGTCAAAAGTACTCCAGACTAATAAATTAGAGTTCCTTCAAAGGCAGAAACCACATAGTATTTTGTCCATGGAAAGTTTAATATAAAATATTAATGACGGGCCTTCCTGGTGGCGCAAGGGGTTAAGCACAGCACTATGAAACAATCCGCAGCCTCTGCAGCACAAGTTCGATCCCCAGGCAGCCAGGGAGCAACCTACATTGGGCAGCAGACCTCTCCTGTCTCACCCGCTGCTCCCTTCAGCAGTGTATTTCAGTCAGTCTGCCTGTTCTGCTCCCCACTCTGTTTCTGGTGTATCCTCTCACTCCCTGCATCTCTGGCCTGTACCCCAGCTCTTGTATGCAAAAATAAATAAATCTTTAAAAAATTAAATAAAATATTAATGACTATTTATAGGAGATTGGCCACGAAGAGGGAATAAAACAGAACTCAAAGGAACAACACCCTAAGGCTAAGGCAGAGTATTGCAAGGGGGCCCTCTCCCCAGGCCTGGAATAATCTCTTTGGAGAGGATAGGACAGAAGCACAGACTGGATGGGGAAGAAGCTGATTGGGCACCTCTGGACCACAGCTGGTCCACAGCTGGCAGACTGTGGTCAGAAAGCAAGGAACACAGATGGGACTGGCAAAAGATAGAAGTTCCCCATTGGACTCCTAGCAGACCAGGGAGGGTGAGTAGGGAGTCATGGGTCCCGATAGTGAGGCCCCTCCTGGGGTGCCGCAGGCCAGGACTGGCACCTGGCAACCAGCTGGGACTAGCAACAACTTTCGGGGGAGGTGAGTACCACTGGACTTCTCCCTGCATGTGCCTGGCCACCATGAGCAAGTAGAAACAGAAGCGTAGACCAGGAGTGAGACCCCTTACTCCTGCTGTGTCCTGCAGTGCTCACATCATGCTATGGCAAAGGAGAAACGTTTACAGGGTCTGGTTTCATGATCACATCGTAAGACATTGACAGGAGTGTTTGGAGCTGAGAGGTCATATTTTGATAACCACACACATCAGGATCCAGTTACTTAGACTAAAGTGTGAATGGTCTTTGGAATCAAGAAGCACAGTGGCCCTGAGAGAGGCATCACCCAGCTGGGAAGTCTTCCTTAAAATGCTTTCTATTCTATCTTGGACAGCCCATAGAAATCGGCTAAAGGAACAAAAACAAAGACCTGCAGGCAGAAAGAACAGTTTTTATGAAGGCACAGAGTGGGAGAACTTGATGAAATTTCCCTAAAAGCCATTCAAGAGAGAGCTGCAGATATGGAGCTTTTTGTCTTCCTAAGAAAAAGTTCCACTTCAGCAAAGAGCATCATTTCCTTGGACTAAAGATGAAAGCTCTGACTTGTGTCTCCTCAATCTTTGCTACTACCCCCCTCACTGATTCCTCTTGCTTTTCTCTCTACTTGCTGCCACCCCTTTCTTCTAGCTCTGTGCAGGGGTTCCAGCACCTTGCATTTCTTCCAGTAGTTTCAGGAATCTGCAGAGTGTGATCTGGAGGCGCATGGAGGTGGTTCTTTGCCCCCACTTCTGACCTTTCTGCTTTGGCTTGAAGTGGTTGAACCCACCGATGCTGTTGATGCCAACACTGACATCTCCAGCAGCACCTACCTGCACTGCCCTTCCTGGCCGGTGCCCCCTTTAACTTGACCTGGATCACCTCTCACTGTTGGCATTCAGCATAGTTCTTGAAAAGAGGGATACCACTGCTTCCCTTTTCCTCTGCCCAAGCTGTTGCAGGGTGCCAGGCCCCTGTCACGAGGGCACTGGCTGGACATGACCAGTGACCCCTGAGTGTGTCCGGTCCAGGGGGAGCACAGGACCGCCATGGAAGGACCTTAGCAGCATGCATGTCTTGCTTGTCCTGCCAGATCTGCTCACCTCACTCTTCCTTCCACTCAGCACCCAGGATACTGACGCATGTGCCATGGCTATGGAGTTTGACCAGTGAACAGAGCTGTGGTAATCAGGAGATGGGAAGAGAATGAAATAGGTTATTTGCTTGCTGGGTCCCCTCCTTTCTGGGCAGGGCAGGCTGCACCCCTCTACAAAGGCTCCAAGCAGGGGCCTGCTCCACTCTGCTCTCTGCCCAGGTTCAGATCAGACCCCCAACCCCCTCACCCTGACCCTTCAGTCCAAAGGCAGCATCCTCCACCCGGCCCCCCCTCTGACCAGCCCCCTGCCTTTGCAACCACACTGCTTGAAGATATCATATATTGCCAGCTGGGATGGAGACTAATAATGGGTGACTACTTGGGTCCAGTCCTTCTTAGGGGGGTGGCCTCTGAGGCCAGACGGTGGGCATCAAAATCATGTCTCCGGCCTTCTGAGCTGTGATTCTGGGCACATCTGGGTACAATAACCATGTGCACTTGGTGATTTGCTGTGAGGATGTAATGAGGCGGCACGTGACCAATGCCAGCTCAGTGCACTTGAACGGCTGCCCCTGCTCCTCCCCACCCTGGACCCCCACCCTCCACGCCTTCCCTTCCCCTGCACTGCCTCCTCAGCGGGGAGGTGGGCGGGCCTCCGTTTGGGCAGCTGGTGCTCAGTCTCCGGGTACATGTGCGAGGAATCCGTGCAGGCAGCTTCCAGCTCAACGCCTGGGCCCTGATGGATGAGTCAGTGTTAATCATTAATATGATTTCTTTCCATAGAATCATGAGATTTTACAGCCATGGAGAATCATGTCAGCCCACACTTCATAACAGTGGAAATGAGGTAACTCTTCCCTGGAGTCGCCACCGCAAACCCAGCACAAACTGCTTTCAGCGGGCATCTGTGAGAGCATCTCCGAGGTGCGTGAGTAGAGCCGGTGGTTTTCCTCTGGGTGAACAGGCACCCGCAGAGTAAACGTGAAATGGGAATCAATGAACCCTCACAATCACTGTTCTCACCCCGTGCCGCCTTCCATATCCTGCACTGTTTTCTGACCCCGTAGGCACTGGCTCTGGCAGCAATGAGGGGAAGCCAGTTCCCCATTATTTGCACGAAGGGCCCCTGAGGGAAGCTCAGAAGTGACTGCCTGGACTTCTCTTGCCAGTGGGCGCAGGACGACCATGTTCTCATGAGTCACTTCGTCCTTGAGTTGGGTACCCGGATCCCAGTGACTCAGTGGCAGAGGCCTCCCGGCCTGCGCCGGCTGCTCCCAGCTCTGGGGACAGGGCAGCGCAGGGGATGGAGGGGCTTAAGAGCTCCAGGGGAACACGAGCCCTCCGTGAATTCTATGTGTGTCAAGAGGCAGAGAAGCCTCTTCTCTAGAAACAGCCTGGGCTTTTGGAAAACAGGAAAGGTTCATGGCAGGGGTGTTAAGTGGGAAAGAGCGAAGGGGTGCGGCGGAGCAGCAGCAGACTTGTAGGAGAGCTGGGGCGGGCACCGGGGAAGGCTCTGCCTGTGTCCTTCAGCCCGAGAGCTGTCACAGCTCAGCTTCCAGATGAGACAAACCTCAGCGCAGGGATCCTTGACTCCAGGAAATCTCCCGAAGCTGATAATGGAGATTAATGGAGATGACGCACTTGGAAACTTTGTGACTCCGAGGAGGGGGAGGCAACGGGGGACATTTACGTGCTCCCAAAATATGAAGTGCGTGTCTCCTGGGGATCAGACAAAGGGCTGGGGCCAGGGAGTCAGTGAGGGAGCAGACACCAAACCCCCAGCATGGTTCCGGGTTGTTGGGGTCTTCCCCGCACCCGCACACTTGCCAGAAGGCTGGTTTCTCTCCCCAGAACTCACAGGCAGAGAGAAAGGTCTGGGGGCGCGGGCTCGAGGGCAGATGGACGTCACCTGGCCTGAGCAAACGGCCCAGCTATTTGCTGTCTCTCGCTCCACTCTCCTTCCCTGTGATGGCCTTGAAGAGCCTTTTGTTCCTCCTGTCCCAGTTCCGTTTCCATGGGAACTGGAGTGGCAGCAGCATCACTCTGCTGAGGTGAAATGCCCCCAGGATGCCATGAATACCTGGGGAAAACTACCTGAGAAGAGTAAGCCATCTCAGAAATTACCCTGCAGGGGGCTTCCTTCTCAGGCCTCCACTCAGTCCTGAGTTTTTCCTGGTGTTAGATTTACGTGCCCAAGGTCACGGAGGCTGCCGGGGAACAGGTGCACTCCTGCACTGCGCCTGGGTCTTTGGTCCCGAGCACCTGTCCTGTACCTGGTTGGCGTGGGATGGCTACTTACTGGGTGAAATCACAAGCATGGGCTGGGATCACATGACGTCATCTGATGCCCTTTCAAACCTCTCCCCCAAATTGTCATCTGACTACGTGACTCATGACACACTTATGGACTGCTGCAGTTATGTTTTAATTGAACTTTTCAAAAAACCCAAATGGTACATTTAATAGTGGTCACTTAACCGGCAGGCTGGTTGACAGTCACCAAATGTTTTGGAGTGGGGGGGGTGGGGAGGGCTAATCAGCAGGCCCCAAGCAATGGAGAGATTTGGAATTGCTACAGGGTAATCTCATAGGGGAAGGGAGGTTCTAGGTTCCCTGCCCCACCCTAAGGAAGGGTGGAACTGAGAAGGGAGAAGCTAGAAAAGACTGGGAGAAGGGAGGATGGACACCAAGGGGAAGACCTGGAGGAAGCATGAGGAGTGGAGACACATGGAGAAGGTGCACTTGCTTCCCCGCCTTGGCCTTTTACCAGGGACTTGGGGGGCATGAAAGGAGACAGAGGCGAGGCATGGATGGGAGAGGGACCTGTGGAGAGGCTGACAACGGCTGCCTTTATCTTGACTTGTATTTTGGTATTTGCTCCTTTAGTTCCCCTTCTGCCCTGTTTCTGTGGTCCCCACCAGAAGATGCCTTAGATTTCTGGCAAGCTTTCAGGCCTCCGTGGCCCAGCTTTTGGCCAATTCTGTTTGGGGGATGGGTAACTTTGGATACTTCATGGGGAAACTATTTTAACTATATTCTTTCTCTTCTATTGCACACTAATTGTATTAAAATTCCCTTCCATTGATGGTCTTATGCACTAGAGTATGTTTTGTCTTGATGTGAGAGATGGCAGAGACTATTTAGAGCAGAAAGTTTTGGGGTTCCTGGGGTGCCCCTCACCCCGCCCTGTAGCTGATAGAGCTGGCTCCTAACTTTAGTTCTTGCAGAGTGTTGAGAGCATGGACTCTGGAAACTGTCTGCCTGGGTTCAAAGCCTAGCTTTTCTACTTAGGCCCTGTGTGAACCTGGGTTAGGTACTTAGCCTGTCTGAACCTCAGTTTCTTCATCCATAAAATGGGGCCATGATGGATTATATCATACAGATTTGCTGTGTATTTAGTAAATGAATATAATACAGCATTCAAAATTGTCCATGCCTGTATTAAGTCCTAGATATCTTATTACTACCATTATTACCTTAGTTTATTCATTCTGAAGCACATCTTTTCCCTATTTTGTCATGTCTGAAAGCTGAAGATCTTTTTAGTCTTTTTTGGTACATGAAATGGCATGCTTTACAGTGGATTGTATTTTTTTTTTTAAAGAATGCAAGTTCTTTTTTTTTTTTTTATAGAGGCATGTTTCATTTATTTATTTATTTGTTTGTTTTGTTTGTACATGCACTGGGTACAGTCAGAAGCGCGGGAGGGTGAGAGAATTCACCAGAGCCAGAGCAGGGAGCAGAGCAGGCAGAAGGACCGAAGCACACTGCTGAGGGGAGCAGCGGGCGGCAGGAGAGGTCTGCGCGCCATGTGGGACCCTCCTCCGGTGGCCGGAGAGCAGCCGGGGATCGAACTGGCGCTGCAGAGGCCGTGGGCAGCTTCGCAACCCAGCGCTCAACCGCTGCGCCACCGGGGAGGCCCTGGATTGTGTTTTTGATTCAATTACATTCATTGTGTATTGCTGTTTTCCCTGGTCTCTAGCACCATGTCTAGTCCTTACACTCTAGGAAAGGCTAAACTCCCTCCCTCCTAGGATCTCTAGGCCTCCCTTTCCTGGGGTCCCTTGGTCATCAGTGTGGGCTCAGAGGCAGTCAGGATGGGCCTTCACTCATGACACTGACCTGCCATCATCTCACCTCCTACGCCACCAAGCCAGATATTTTATCTGACTCTTCAGTGCTGGGGGGTGGGTTGTCTGATTTTGCTTCATTCTGACAATGGGAGGGAGTTTTGTGTCTGTATTAGTCAGAGTTCTCCAGAGAAAGGGAAACAATAGGATAAAGGCTCAGAGTAGAAAACTTAGGATGGAGGCGTTACAAGATCAGAAACTAGAGGTGGGGGTAGAGATGATTAACATAATTATTAAACCAGCTATAGAAATGAAAAATCCTTAAGGCATCAACTACTGTAGCAAGTACCAGACTGCTATAGAAAGTATCAGAGGCAGAGGATATGGAGGTGGAGGGTCAGTGTAGATTATGAATGGTCCTTACAAATTAACCTAATCACACCCTAGAAGCGATTAATTTAATAAAGATTTATTTTAAGGGGACCTCCCTGGGGGCGCGGAGGGTTCAGTCCAGCCTATGAAGTTATCTGCAGCCACTGCAGCAAGAGTTCAATCCCCGGCCAGGGAGCTACCCACATGGCACAGCAGACCTCTCCTGACTTACCCGCTGCTCCCTTCAGCAGTGTATTTCAGTCAGTCTGCCTGTTCTGTTCCCCACTCTGCCTCTGGTGAATCCTCTCACCCCCCACACCTCTGGCCTGTACCACAGTTCTTATATACATAAATAAATACATCTTAAAAAAAAGATTTATTTTAAGGGATTGACTTCATGTGTTTACATGGCTGGCAAGTCCAAAATCTGCAGAGTGGGCTGGTAGACTGAGACTCCGGACCCAATGCAGCAGTTCAAGTCCCAAGGCTCTTGGCTGGAGAATTCCCTCTAGTGTGTGGGGAAGTCAGCCTTTTGTTCTAATCACATCTTCACTGATTGGATCAGCCCCACCCACATTATGGAGGACAGTCTGCTTAGAGACTGCTGAGTTAAATGTTAATTTCACCCAAAACACCCTACAGAAATATCCAGGGTGTTTGACCAAATATCTGGGCCCATTGGCCAGTCAGGTTGACACATAAATTCACCATCTTATGGTAATAATTTTATGGGGAGAGTTCCCCACAAGAACTGAAGGGGGAAATTTCCTGGAGTAACGGTGCTGTCCTTGCTGAAGACCATGCTTGCCTTGGGGACCCCTTGTCTCCTGCCTTTGTGATTTCCCCGTGTTCAGCTTGACAACAGTATTTTCTTTGTCCTCCCAGCAGTTCTGCACCACGGGCAGGAGACTCTTTGCTTTTCATGAGAAGAAACACACATCAGAATTTAAACGACTTATTATTAGATAATTCTGGGAAGCTAGAAGATGCATTATTAATTGTTTTCTCTATTTTTATTTTCTTACATTGTTAATTTTTGGACAGCACATGATTTCTCCCCCCAGGTATAGTCCCCGAGTTTCTCCCACCACCATATAGATGCATTATTTAAATCCAGTTTCATCTCTTTTTAGCTCTTACTTGTCAAGAGCAATAGTAATAATAATTATTATTATTGCTGTTGTTTTATCACTAAGGCTCATTATGTTTCAGGCACTGTTCTAAGTACCTTACATGTATTAACCTGCTTAATTAGCTCCACATCCTAACCATCCCCTAGAATTCTGAAGACAGATGTGACAAGTTGTCAAAGGTGTGAAATACTCAGGTTCACACTGCCTGGGCAAGAACCCGCAGGAGGGCCCTCCTACCTGGGGCTGGTTATCTCCCCACCATCGGATCTTCTTTCCTGCTCTTTTTACTGAGCAGCCGACTGATGCCTGCACTGGGGATCCATGCCCACTCTGTGGTGTTCGCACCTCATTAGTTCTTAGCACCTTCTACAGGCTTCTGAGATTAGCTCCTATCTCAGTTTGATTCATTTGATGAGCAGAAGATGACATACAGGCATCAGGGATCTGTCCACACTCTCTGGGCTCTTCTGCTCCTCCCTCCTGCTCTCTCATTTTGCACCTTTTCTAGATTGCCAGTGGATCAGTCCTACCCACCTCCTGAGGGATAGGGGCCTTGTTAAGGGATGTTTGTCTGCCTGTCCCTAAATGTTCACTCGAGGGTGGAGTCCTGGTGAGCGTGGGGAGCCAAAAGGTCTTCTACTTGACTCCCAGATGAAGACAGCAGGGCAGTAAGGCCTCATTACTTTCAAGTCAGTCCAAAGGTAGGTGCTGCTCCATTCAACTGATAAGGGACTGATCACAAAGATATACAAAGAACTCTTAGGGCTCAACAAAAACAAAATAAACAATCCAGTCAAGAAATGGGCAGAACTCAAAAGACATTTCTCCAAAGAGGAAATGCAAATGGCCAACAGGCATATGAAAAAAATATTCAACATCCCTTATCATCATGGAAATGCAAATCAAAACCACACTGAGATACCACTTTACACCAGTAAGAATGGCACACATCAAAAAAACAATCAACAACAAATGTTGGCGAGGATACAGTGAAAAAGGAAGTCTCCTAAACTGCTGTTGGGAGTGCAAATGGGTCCAACCACTGTGGAAAGCTGTCTGGAGGTTCCTCAATCTACTGAAAATGGAGCTACCATACGATCCAGCAATTCCACTACTAGGGATCTACCCAAAGGACACAAAAACAGTGATTCAAAAGAGCACCTGTACACCTATGTTTATTGCAGCACTACTTACAATAGGTAAAACCTGGAAACAATCCAAATGCCCAAAAATAGATGACTGGATCAAGAAGATGTGGTGTATATATACACAATGGAATATTATTCGGTAATCAAAAAAGATAAACTCATGCCATTCGCAGCAACGTGGATGGAGCTAGAAGGAATTATGCTCAGTGAAATAAGCCAGAAGGAAAAAGAAAACTATTGGATGGCTTCACTTATAGCA